CCGATTTCAGGTTTGAGTTCTCGTGCACTTCTTTAACCGAGTTTGGGAAATCGTTCCGTTAAGGTTCAATTCTTCCAATTTTCCGAGTGTGTTCCGGAGGGCCCAGGATGAATCGTTTGAAACCGGCGATAAAAATGGCAGTTTCATCACGTCTGATTTTTTCGTAGAGGTATCAGATAGCGGTCGGGGGACAGCAATCAACACTCCCCGCCCTCCGCCTGATGAAAAGAGTCCACGATGTTTTAGGTGCTATTTTACAGGTGATTTGGATCTGGCGGAGATTCCAAAAGGGCAGCCGTTCAACACCAATTCTTTGATTTCCTGACAAGTTGCATCTGGTGCCAATAAAATGGAGTTGTAAGAGGTGACGGGAGAGAAAAAACGTTTGAAATCCGCAGGGCAACCTTTGCGTTTACTAGCCACCCATGTTGTAAAAATTCCAGGGGGGGTAGTACGGCAGGTGTGCGGATTTCAGGTTTGTCTAGGGCCCGGTCACTCTTTAGCGCAGTTATTTTTGAAAACGAGCCATTTCAGGGAATCAAAGTTGGTTGAAGGCTGCATTTGAAAATAGTCCGCCAGATTCCAATTGTATATCACCTCAAGTTGACGCTTTAATTAGGCGGTGGGGAGGGCGGGGGAGGGTGTTGGAATTGTGCGTCCCGACCGTATTCTTGAGAACCCTTACGTAAAATCAGGAAGTGAGGGTTCGATAGGCGTTGATTTCGGGGGGGTTTTTTTTTCAAAAGGATTTATTCTGGGCCGCGGACCAACTCGGATTTTGAGGATTGAAAACGTTAAAGGAAACGATTCCCAAACGCGGTTTTTTTAAGAGGTGCGACGAGAACATTTAACCTTGAATCGGATTTCTTGATTTTTTCTAAATGATTTCGGAAACACGAGATCGGCTTTATTCGCCCTCTGGGTTGGGGTATTCCTACTCGAGACACGCGCTTTACGAACTGGGAGTTTCCAAGAACGGATTCCAATCCTTAAAACTTGGGTTGACCCTCCGGTTGATGAGAGATTGGTGCGCGAATTTTGCATCACATGTGCGCGAAATCTACGTCGTTGAGGAGAACGTCCTCTACTTGAGAAGGACATCAAGGCGATTGTCGGCCGGTTTATCAAAATGGCGAGATGGATCGGCTGGTGCCGGTATGGGGCAAGGAATTCCAGACAGTTTTGGAGGGAATCCCGATTTCGCTCGGACTCAATCCATCAGATACTGTATGCAACGCGCTATTTCCGCTCCTTCGACCATATGTTCGGTGCAAAGAGCAAATCTATCGCGATTGATCCATGGGTTTTTGCCCGTGAGAGCACATCTCGAACGTCAATACCCATCAAGTTATACATTCCCGCACGCAACGCCACTTTCTGTCCAGGGTGCCACACCGTGACTCTGCGAGTGTGTTCAAAGAGATTACCGATCAGTTTATGGATACGAAGTATATGGAGAGGCACCACGCGCGGTCTCCCGTTGATCTCGTCTTTCATGGAGACATCGGTTGTTACTCAATGCTGAAATATGAACCGTTTCCGCGTCTGATGCATAACCTTTCGGCGATGGCGCTCGGCGGCGGAGCAGGTGCCGGAATCGATCCATTTATTAAAAACAAGCAGGTTGTCTTTATGGGAGATTCCACGTTCTTCCACGGTGGGATGTCAGCGATTTCCGATTCCATTAAAAATAATCAAGATCTGACTTATGTCATCTTGGACAATCAGACAACCGGGATGACAGGGCATCAACCCACACCGTCGACGGAGGATGACATCCTCGGCAATCCGACCTTTGCACAGGACATCGAAAAAGTAGTCGAAGGACTCGCAGGCGATTCAGATCTCTTTATCATCCGAACCAACCCGGAGAATCGTGTAGAGTACAAGAAACTGGTCGAAGAGACGGTTCTCAAGCCGGGCGTCAAAATTCTCATCGCCGATAAGGAGTGCGGTATCACCTATCACCGTCGGCTGCGGCGTGAGCACCAACAAACAATCAAAGAGCGTGGTTTCTTATCAGTCGAAAAACATATCAATATCACCCCTGAAGTCTGCGAATTCTGCCTTGAGTGTACCAACGCGACAGGCTGTCCCGGCTTGAAAATAACTGAAACGGACTATGGACCGAAGATTGGGATCGATCAGTCGAACTGTGTGTCTGATGGTGCTTGTGCGCGGATTAAGTGGGCGTGTCCTTCCTTCGAGGAGGTGACCGTCACCCGTAAGCGTCCACCACGCCAACAGGTGGATTTGGGTGTCATGTCAACCGATTCAACGGAGTTTCCACCGCCGCCGGCACGCACCTTCGACCAGACATGGAGTGTCCATGCTGCGGGCGTTGGCGGGATGGGGATTGGTACAATCTCCAAGGTTTTGGTGCTTGCAGGACAGGTGCAAGGGTATCATGTGAGGTTTTTCGACAAGAAGGGATTGGCAATTCGTAACGGAGGGGTTTACACAAACCTGATTTACTCAAAAACAGCAGTGGAACTCTCCCCGATTATTCCGTACGGGAAAGCAGATCTGCTGATCGGCATGGATATGTTGGAAGCGGTGCGCGGTCTCGACCCCAAAGCCGGATTCCGCGTTGCGTCACCAGATCGAACGGTTGCCATCGTTAATACTGCTAAAACGGACACGGTGACAACCCTCATCGGTCAGGACGATTTCAAACTCTCGGATTTGGAGAAATGGTTACAGCGCTACACCGACGCAGATGCCTATTTCGGGGCAAATGTGTTCGACATTTCCGAAAAGTATCTCGGAAACAAACTCTATGCTAACATGATGCTGCTCGGTGTTGCTTTTCAGCGAGGACACTTGCCACTCGAACTTGAAGCCATTCAGTCAGGATTAAAATCGGCTGTAAGACCCGCAGACTTGGAAACGAACCAGCGCGCCTTTGACATGGGCAGACGCCTCGCGGTAGATCCGGCTGTTTTTGCGACGGCACCGCAGTGGCAAACGTATAAAACTTTACTCCGAGAGAAATGCGAAAGTTTAGCGCGGAAGCGGCGGGGTGAAACGCTCGCCCACGAATATGAAATACTTGTTCAACAGACGATGGAAAAGCTGGAATTGGACGACGAAACCAATCGAAGGTTTGCATTGTATGTATACGACCTCATCCAATTTGAAGATTTGGCGTATGCCCGTCTGTACGTTGAAAAGATTGAACAGATCCATTCCAAAGATTTGTCTGAGATGGGCTACCGTGCAACGAAAGCTGCGATCAAATATCTGCACAAGGTCATGCTCATCAAGGACGAAATATATGTAGCTCACCTGTTGACCAGCGATACTAAATTAAGGCATGACAAAGAGCTGTACAATGTCGATGAATCGAATGGGGATAAGATTAAATACGTCCACCTCAACCGTCCCCGCTTCACCATTATGGGGCGGAATCTTCAATGGGACATGAATACCAAAAACTGGCAGCTAAGATTAATGAAACGGATGAGGTTTCTCAGACGTTTGCTATCGCAATGGCATAAACTAGAAAAAGTGTTCCGAGATTGGTACATCGCTGAAGTGATTGATACCTTTGCGCCACACGATGGAGAGAGCTATGAAGATCATGTCAGCGCGCTAGAAGTCCCTGAAGAGGTGCGTGGATATCGAGAGGTGCGTTATCCAAAAATGGAAAACGCCAGAAAAAAAGTTGAAGCACTGTTACGTAGCGCGTAAAGTTTTCACATTTCACTTCACATGCCATGCAAATCACAGGTCAAACGAAAATCGTTGGCATTATTGGTGCCCCGATCGAACATAGCCGCTCCCCGCAGATACACAACGCAGCAATTGCCGCACTAGGCTTGGATTATGTCTATGTACCCTTTCACGTCCAGCCTGACAATTTAGGCGCAGCGATTGAGGGGTTCAAGGCAGCCAATGTTGTCGGTATTAACGTAACGATTCCACACAAACAAAACGTAATCACGTACCTTGATGAGATATCAAGGGAAGCGACGCTCATCGGTGCCGTTAATACGTTGATTTTCAAAGATGGAGCAATTAGCGGCGAAAATACGGACGCCCCCGGTTTCTTACAAGCAATGCAGGAAGAGGGACTCGACGTTCCTGAAGGGGGGACGGCTGTCGTAATTGGAGCGGGTGGTTCAGCACGCGCAATTGTTGTTGCCCTTGCTCTTGCTGGGGTACAGACGATTTGCATTACCAATCGTACCGTTTCAAGAGCGGTCGCGCTTGCCACGGATCTTTCAGGGAAAACAGGCGTATCAATCTACGGAATAGGGCTTGATGATCCCAAGCTATCAAACGCTGTGGGAACAAGTCAATTAATCGTCAATACAGCATCCACCAGTATGGATGTTTCGTACCCGTTGTTGATTGATCCTGAGTGGTTAGAACCACAATCCATCGTTTACGATATTGTCTACACGCCTCCCGAAACGCGCCTTCTACGAGCTGCGGCGGAGAAGGGCTGTCACACAATCGGTGGCTTAGGTATGCTTGTCCATCAAGGAGCGATTGCTTTTGAGAAATGGACGGGCGTCAATCCGCCTGTTGAGAGCATGCGGCAAGCACTCCAAGGTGCATTCGATCAGAAGTGAGAGGTTAATTATGAATATGGAAAATTCTTTTTCTCCGACAACTCCGTCATCCGCGCCAATTAAGGTGGATATTTTTCATTCGCAGTATCTTATACAGCCAACTGAACATTTGTCAGCGGACGACATTCGTGAGTTGGCTGCCTACTTAGATGGGCGGTTGCACGAAATGAGTCGAAAAACCTCGCGTGATAAGTTCGACATCGCGATCATGGTCGCGTTACAGATTGCGGCGCAGATGTGCGAAGATCAGAAACAGTTCCAGCAATCGATCCATCGCATGATCGAGGAGCTTGAGAAAGCTGTAGAAGGTAAATCTGCTCCTGAACCAGAACAATCTACGCCAACAACATTCGGTAACGTATAAATCACTCAATTTCGTAGATGACATTCACCGTTACCGTGATCTGGAGTTGACCAGATTGGATGGGTGTTTCCACCGCTGCCGCTGCATCATCAGCAAATGCGAATTCAAGATTGACAGGGCGCGGCACATAAAAATCCCCCGACTCGGAGATAGAAATCGGTTTCCCCAGGCTGACCCCGCCTTCGGTTGCCAACGTTTGCGCTTTTGCCTGTGCGTCTTGCATTGCCGCCACGCGAGCCTGCATCTTTAATTTTGTGGTGTCATCAATTGTGAACTGAATCGAGTTGATCTCCACCAAATCCCCGCCGGCTTCCGCTGCATCGTCAATCACATTCCCAACGGTGTCCAAATCACGGATCTTCGCAGAGACGGTATTTGTGACGCTATATCCCCGAAACTCCCGCTGACCTTTGATATAGTCGAACTGCTGGTAAATGCTGAAATGCTGGGTCTGAATATCCGGATCAAGGAGACCGTTGCCTTTTAGGGATTCGATCACACCCGCCATCGCTTCAGCGGCTTCTGTCCGTGCCTGTTTCACAGAGTCCCTCTCCACCGAAACTCCGATACTCAGCACGACCACATCGGGGGTCCCCGCGACTATGCCGGTGCCAGTCACTCGAACCGTCTTTTCGGTTTTCTCCCTATTGATGACCTCTATGGTACGCTCTTCCGGTTGAACCGAAACCTCCACATTGTCGCCCAAGCTACCCGCTACTATCACTAAATCAAACAGGTTTATCTCCCCATCTTGATTCACATCCCGCGGGGCTGCGGCAAAATCAAGTCCCGCTTGAACGTTTAGAAGCGGAGTCAATTCAGCAGCGGTGAGTTCGGTCTCATCTTCAGGCTTCATTCCCTCATCTGCAGCGCACCCACTCAACAATATCATCAGACAGACGAGAGGATAGATAAGATTAACTTTCATGGGTAAAATCTCCCTATAGTATAGAGTCGGGACAAGGTTAAGTCCGAGCCCGATTCAAAAATTGCGTCGTAACACGATTGCTTAACATGAGCCTACGCTTTACAGGAAATAACGCTCCTTCTGCTTGGCAGTCTCATATTCCTCGTACGCTTGCTGCACGGTGCCTACCTCAGAGACTTCGGCGATGGGCACATCCCACCACGATTCGTAGCTGGGGACGCGCTTCTCAAAATCGACATCGACCTTGATCACCGTTGTGCGATCAGACGCCTTCGCCTCTCCGAGTGCCGTTTTCAGGCTCGTTGCCGAATCTACCTCAATGACGCGTGCCCCAAGGCTTGCGGCATTCGCAACCAAATCCACCGGCAACGTCTCACCGTCAAGCTGACCCGTGGCATCGTTACGATATAGGAATTTCGTTCCAAATCCCTGTGCGCCTGTTGCCTCGGAAAGCCCGTTGATGCTGCTGTGACCGTAGTTGTTCACCAGCACGATGGTCAGTTTGTACCCTTCCTGAACTGCCGTCATAATCTCCTGTCCCATCAGCAGGTAAGAGCCATCACCGACCAGCACGTAGACCTCGCGACTTGGATCTGCCATCTTGATCCCTAACCCGCCTGCAACCTCGTAGCCCATGCAGGAGTAGCCGAACTCCACATCATACCCTTTGGGGTCGCGAGTGCGCCACAGCTTTTGGACGTCGCCCGGTAGGCTGCCCGCCGCACCAATAAGCACATCCTTCGGATCTGAGAACTCGTTCACTACCCCAATCACTTCGCCCTGACTGAGGGTCTCGCTGTGATCCGGGTGATAGATTCGGTCTACCTCGGCGTCCCATTCCTCACGCAATTTTGCGATTTGGGCAGCGTAGTCCAGATTGACATGGTAGCCTTGAACGGCGTCACCGAGTTCTTCAAGCGTTACGCGCGCATCTGCGGTCAGCGATAGTGCTGCGTGTTTGGCAGCGTCAAACTCCGCTACGTTGATGGTGATGAAGCGCACATCCGGATGCTGGAATGCGGTCTTTGAGGCTGTAATGAAATCACTCAAGCGGGAACCTACCACAATGATGAGATCCGCGTCACGGGCGATGATATTCGCCCCCAGCGTACCGGAGACACCCATCCCGCCCAAACATTGTGGATGGTCGTAGCGGAGCGAGCCTTTGCCCGCGAATGTTTCGGTGACAGGGATGCCGGTCTGTTCAGCGAAGTGAGTGAGCGCATCGGTTGCCTCGCTGTATTTCACACCACCGCCTGCGATGATAAATGGTCGTTTGCTGGTGCGAATCCATTCAGCGGCTTTTTTTAGTGCATTGATGTCAGCGCGTGGGCGTGGAATCGTCTGGAACCCGTTTCTCGAACAGTGCAGACGGATAATCATAGGCTTCGGCTTGTACGTCCTGCGGCAATGCCACCGTGACGACACCCGTTTCCGCCGGCGAGGTCAGCACACGCATTGCCTCCGGCAGCGCGGTGATAATCTGTTCTGGGCGGTTGATTCGGTCCCAATAGCGCGAAATCGGCTTGAAGCAATCGTTCACCGAAATATCCTGCGAACTGGGTGATTCAAGCTGCTGCAAGACGGGAGCGACAAGGCGTGTTGAGAAAATGTCGCCCGGTAGCAGCAGTATGGGTATCCGATTGATTGTCGCACCGGCAGCGGCAGTAACCATGTTGGTCGCCCCTGGCCCAATTGAAGAGGTACACGCGAAGGTGCGTAGGCGGTTGCTCATCTTTGCAAACGCCGCAGCGGTATGCACCATCGCCTGCTCATTGCGTGTCTGATAGAACCGGAATGAGTCTGCGTATTGATGCAGTGCCTGACCAACTCCAGCGACGTTACCGTGTCCAAAGATGCCGAACATACCCGCGAAAAACTGATGTTCAACACCATCGCGTTCAACATACTGGTTTTTGAGAAATTCGACGACAGCTTGCCCCATCGTCAATCTTTGAGTTTTCATGGTTGCCTCCTGTATTTTAGATCGCCATTCTTCGTAAAGCGGTATAATTCCCCGTACGGAGTTGACAGAAGTAGACCCCGCTTGCCACCGATTCTCCACCATATAAATTCTATCACACAATCGTTTTGTTGGGTAGATGATAAATTCACATGACAGGAAAAAACATAAACATACTCAAGCCAACTTCTATCCCGTTGAAAGGGTTATCGTAGAAAAGGATTATTCAACCAACGAAGGATTGTTGGAGGCAGGGTAGGTTTGCGAGGGGCTGTTAACATTGAAGGGATTGAAGCGGGAGTGTAAGTTGATTTCCCAAAATTGACATTTTAGTGTCGAGATATGAATTTCGATTTGGAGTTAGAACCCGAGCCGAGAGGGGCTACTTGAGGATGACCATCCGACGCAACGCAGTATAATCCCCTGCGCGGAGTTGATAGAAATAGACCCCACTTGCGACCGATTCTCCACTGTCGTTATGACCGTCCCAATAGGCTGCCTTTGCCCGATCTGTGTAATACCCCGCAGACTGATGTCCCAAATCGAACCGACGCACCGGCACGCCTTTTGTGTCATAAATCGTGAGAGTTACATCGGCGGAATGGACGAGACGATACGGTATCCATGTCTCCGGGTTGAATGGGTTGGGGTAGTTTGGGAGCAGTGCGGTTTCGGCAGGAGTGAGCATAGCTAGCAGTGCATTGAGATTAGCCATACCGCGTCGAAAGGTAAGCGAACCGTCATCTGCCATGTGCGCCATATCAATCCATTCCTGAACCGTTTGAGGAGTAATGGGAACACCAGTCGGTGTTGGGAAAAATGGTCGATGCCCCCTATGAGCTATGGGTGCTGCGGGGGTCGTTGTGTCATCAAGGTGTGTGCTGACCGCAACCAGATCAAGGATGTTAACAATGCCATCGCTGTTGATGTCTCCCAATAGCCCTTCCCCTGTTTGTCCAAACAGCTTTCCGACGGTTGCCAAGTCGACGAGATTTACAATACCGTCTTGGTTGACATCATAGGCGGAGACCTGCGGCGGTTTATCCGTCGGAGGTGCGAGATTCCACAGGAGCACTGTCCCATCCTCACTCCCGCTTGCTAGCGTGTAGCCATCCGGACTAAACGCTACGCTGCTGACGCTATCCGTATGCCCTGTGAAGGTGGCTGTGAGTTGCCTTGCGCCAATATCCCACAATTGTACTATACCAGCCGTATCCCAAGCCCCACTCCCAGTTGCGAGTATTCTGCCATCTGGACTGAATGCGACACTGTTGACAGCGATCCCATCGCCTCTGAGAGTAGCTGTGAGTTGCCTTGTGGCAACATCCCACAACTGTACTACTATGACATTCGTACCCGAATTCCCATGTCTACTCGCGCTTGCGAGTATTTTGCCATCTGGACTGAATGCGACACTTTTGATAGGGATCCCATCGCCCCTGAGAGTAGCTGTGAGCTGCCTTGTGGCAACATCCCACAACTGTACTATGCCATCCGTACCCCAATGTCCATATCCACTCGCGTTTGCGAGTGTTTTGCCATCTGGACTGAACGCTAAACTTCTAACACTGTTCGGGGCTCCCGTGAGGGTAGCCTTGAGTTGTCCTGTGTCAACATCCCACAACCGTATTCCAGTGTCTTGTTGCCAACTTCCACGGCTGTTTTCCCAACCGCCCCCACTTGCGAGTGTACTGCCATCCGGACTGAATGCTACGCTTAAAATAGAGTCTGTGTGTCCTAAGAGGGCGTTTTTGAGTTGTCCTGTAGCTGCGTCCCACAGTCGTACCCTATTGTATCGCGAATCTCCACCTGTGTTGTCGTAACCTGCGCTCGCGAATGTGTTGCCAAGCGGACTAAACGCTACGCTGCTGACACCGTCCTCATGCCCTCCAGAGATGGTTTTGAGTTGCCCTGTCCTTGTATCCCAAAGTCGCACCTTCTGGTCTTGCCAACCTGCCCCGGTTGCAAGCGCAGTACCATCTGGACTGAACGCGATACTGGTGACACTGCCCGTATACTCCCTAAGGATAGTTTTCGGTTTCCATGTGGCTGCATCCCGCAGCCACACCGTGTTGTCGTAACCTCCACTTGCCAATGTAGTGCCGTCTGGACTGAACGCTACACTTTCGACTCCCTCCGCATGCCCTGCAAGGGTCGCTATAGGTTGACCTGTGGCAACATCCCACAGTTGCACCGTGCCGTCTAGCCAACCTCCCCCAATTGCCAGCGTGGTGCTATCCGGGCTAAACGCGATACTAGAAACCCTACTTGTATACGTCGTGAGAGTTGCTGTAAGTTCCCCCGTGCGTGCTTCCCACAGTCGCACTGTAAGGTCGTAACTTCCACTTGCAAGTATGGTGCTATCCGGACTGAATGCTACGCTCACGACACTGTCTCTATGCTCTGTGAGGGTGGCTATGGGTTTCCCTGTAGCAACATCCCACAGTCGCACCGTTTTGTCGTCACTCCCACTTGCAAGTATGGTGCTATCCGGACTGAACGCTACACTGTTGACTTCCTCTGCATGCCCTGTGAGGGTGGCTTTGAGCTGCTCTGTGGCAACATCCCATAGCCGTACTGTTTTGTCCCCGCTTCCACTTGCAAGCGTGGTTCCATCCGGACTGAATGCGGTACTATAGATATGGTCCGTATGCCTCGTGAGGGTGGCTTTGAGCTGCCCTGTAGCCACGTCCCAGATTTGCACCGTGCTATCTCTCCCATCCAAACCCTCTGCTCTGCTTGCCAGCATGGCGCCATCCGGACTGAACGCGACACTTGAAACCCCTATAAGGAGGTCAAGTTCTACGCCAGTCTTGGCGTCATATATCCATGTCCCAATGGATCCTGCAACCGCCAGACGACTACCGTCGGGAGAATACGCTATCTCCCCAGTTTTATCCAACCTTTGCCCAAGCGGACTTTGGCACCTTCGGGCAAACTCCATTTGGTGTAGTCTTGGGCATAGGTATTTGGCATGAATGCGAGCGTTCCCAAAGAAAGGAGCATGAGTATGGAAGATTGTGCTGTTTTCATCGGTTAGATTCCTCCGCGCTGATTGCGGGTGCCGTTCTTACTTCAAAATAAGCATCTTCCGCGTTGCCGAATAATTCCCTGCGGACAGGTTGTAGAAGTAAACCCCGCTTGCCGCCGGTTCCCCTGTCTCTAGTCTGCCATCCCAATACGCTGCCTTTACTTTATTTGTGTAAGTCCCTACAGCCTGATACCCCAGATCGAACTGACGTACCACCGCGCCTTTTGTATCATAAATCGTGAGGATTACATCGGCCTCTTCGGCGAGGTGATACGGTATCCATGTCTCCGGATTGAATGGGTTGGGATAGTTAGGCAACAAGGTAGTCTCTTGTGGTGTCAACACCGCTAGGAGTTGTTCGAGGATGCTAATGCCGTGCTGATAGATGAGCGAACCGTCATCTGCTGCGTGAGCCATATCAACCCATGCCTGAACTATATCTCGGTTGAGGTTCGATGAACTACCTCTCTCCCCATTTTCGGAGGAAAGGAGTGCGGTTGGGGCGGTGGGAATCATCGTTTCACTAAAGATGGCAGCAACCTTGACGAGATCCAGAATATCGACAACGCCATCTCTATTGACATCGGCATCATGCTGTCCCATCCGTCCCAAGTTTGATCCAACGAACATCAGATCCAGAATGCTCACCACACCATCGCGGTTGACATCTCCGGGTTTCGTTGCGGGAGTAAGCTCCCACACGAGCACAGTGCCATCCCAACTACTACTAGCGAGCGTGGTGCTATCTGGACTAAACGCTACACTATGGACACTGCTCGTATGCCCTATCAGGGTGGCTTGAAGTTGCGCCGTGGCGACATCCCACAGCCGCACCATTTTGTCCGACCTTCCGGTTGCCAGCGTGTTGCCATCTGGACTGAACGCTACACCGAAGACACTCGACCTATGGGGAGTTAGGTTGGCTTTGAGTTGCCCGGTGACCGGATCCCACAGCCGTACCACCGTCCCACTCCCACTAGCGAGCGTGTTGCCATCTGGGCTGAACGCTATAGTTCTCAAACTGTCCGTATTTCCCGTGAGGATGGCTTTGAGTTGCCCGGTGACCGGATCCCACAGCCGCACCACCGTCCCACTCCCACTAGCGAGCGTGTTGCCATCCGGGCTGAACGCTAGGCTCACGATGTCTGACGTGTGCTTCGTAAAGGTCGCATAGTGTTGCCCAGTGGCAACGTCCCAAAGTCTCAGTGCGCCGCCCCAATCATCACTTCCGGTTGCGAGCATGGTGCTATCCGGACTGAACGCCACACTGAAGACAGCGTCCGTATTCCCTATAAGGACGTTTTTTTGCTGCCCGGTGGCAATATCCCACAGTCGCACCGTGTAGTCATCACTTCCACTCGCCAGTATAGTGCCATCCGGACTGAACGCTACGCTAGTGATCCAGTCCGTATGTCCCGTGAGGATGGCTTTGGATTGCCATGTCGCAGTATCCCATAGCTGCACTACATTGCCGCTCCCGCTTGCGAGTATAGTGCCATCTGGACTAAACACTACACCTGAGCCTCCACCCGTATGGTCCGCGAAGGTAGTTTTGAACTGCCATGTCTCAGTATCCCACAGCTGCACCTCACTTGCACTCGCACTTGCCAATGTGTTGCCATCCGGACTGAACGCTAGACTTCCCACACCGTTCGCATGCCTTGTAAGAGTTGCTTTTAGCTTCCCTGTCTGCACATTCCACAGTTGCACCGTATGGTCGTCCCAACCTCCCCCACTTGCGAGCGTGTTGCCATCCGGACTGAACGCGACATTTTCGGCACCGCCTGTATGTCCCGTAAGGGTGGCTATGGATTCCTCTGTCCGTACATTCCACAGCCGCACCGTATCGTCCCAACCTCCCCCAGTTGCGATCGTGTCGCCATCCGGACTGAATGCTAGACTTTCGATCCCGCCCGTATGTTCAGTAGTAAGAGTGGCTTTAATCTCTCCCGTGCTCGTATACCACAGCCGCATGGTGTTATCTTCCCAACCTCCACCGGTTGCCAGGGTCCGTCCATCCGGGCTAAATGCTACACTATAGACGCTCCTCGGATGTCCTGTAAGGTTAGCTTTGTGCTGTCCTGTCCGTGCATCCCATAGCCGTACCGTCTTGTCACCACTCGCACTTGCCAGTGTGGTGTTATCCGGACTAAACGCCATATCTGTAATACGGCTCGTATGCCCCGTGAGGGTGGCTTTGAGTTGCCATGTCGCAACGTCCCACAACCGTATTGTGTCGTCGCCCCATCTTCCTCCACTCGCCAGCGTGGTGCCATCTGGACTGAACGCTACACTTTCGACCTCCGATGTATGACCTGTGAGCAGGACAAGCTCTGCCCCGCTGTGTACATCGTATATCCAAACCCCGATAGATGCCCCAACCGCCAAGAGGTTTCCGTCCGGAGAATACGCTATATCACTTATCGAGCCTTTGCCGAGGCGTGCTTTGACTCCATTGGGCAGATGCCATTGAGGGGAATCTTGGGCGAAGGTGCTTGATACAAACAGAATAGAGACTAATAATAGGTTAAAACCAAAAAGTCTTCCCTTTTTCATGAGATTCATCCTCCTTTTTGAGTCGTCGGTTTTGGGGTGTAGAGCTTTTGAGTAGATTTAAGTACACCCAACGGGGCTCTAGTCTCTTTAGGAGTCAATGGAAGCGATTGGGTGGGATTCAATGGACTACTGTGCTTTGTGTGGCTAGGGGGTCAGAGCAGGGCTTCACCCAAGTTGCTATCTATGGAGACAAATTCGGTAGAGACAACCCCCTCTGGCTTTCTATCAACTTTCGTGCCAAACATCTGTTGACAGTGAGAAATGTAGTCAGAAAGATTTGGAGTGCCCTTGAACCGGCGAATCTCATCATCAGACCGAATAGGGATCGCCCCTCACGAAACGCCTGTGAAGTTAAGGGTATGGTTGTGGATTGGATCCTATCCGGCTCATTTACGCGCCTTGGACAACACAACCTTAAAATCGTCCTGAGATGTGGCGAATTTCGCTTGCAGACGGGCAGGAGATTGCCCGACATGGTACACACCGGCGGTTGCTTTTAACCTTTAGCGTGCAAAAAACCTATTAAATGGTTGCTAGAAGGAGTGTATGCAATTGGTGTAAGGATTTGACCGATTTGCTCGGAGTTTGGGGGCAATGAGTGGAAAGTTCAGTTGGGGCTTGGGTGTGTCATGCAGCTTGGGTTGAACGGTTCAAATTTTGAACACCCTTGTTTAATGAATGGGCACAGTGAAAATCAACACGCAATTGGCGTACTGATTTTCAGGCGTTGGGTTTCACTAGGTTTGTGAGATTTTAAGTCGCTCTGGATCCCGATTTCATCGGGACTGAATGGAGTCTAGCAACCTGCTTTAGCTGTCTTGTAGCTTCGGATCTTCAAGCCAATCACAGAAAGCCATCACCGCCTCCCGAATATCTTCAGACAGCGAAATCGCTTTTTGTGCTAGTATCACCACCCGCGCCGCTTCCAGTTCGTACCCGTAAATATGGCGAAGCCTGTGGCGAAAGCGACGGTATTCATCTGTGTCCGATAACAGGTTCTGAGAAAACAGTGGTGGGCGGTCATCCCGCGATTGCCCCATTTGGTAAAGAAGCATTCGATGCCACTGTTCACCCGTTGGCAAGTCGCCATCCAATGTGACGGCAACCCTTTCACAGATGCGTTCGATGCCTGAATAAAAATCGTCCACATAGCTCGCCAACGCACGGGTGGCGAATTGGTCCGGTTGCTCGCCTGCTCTGTTCAGACCTTCTACAAGCCCTGAAGTGATGGGCTCAAGCGCAGCAATTTCAGTTGTTAATCTCGATTTCAATGCAGCGCGAGGGTTTTCAGCCATCGGTTTCCCTTCCAAAACGTGTTCACGGATTTCTGCGGGGGCTGATTCCAAAAGCACCAGATGGACAGACAGCCACGATGGCATTATCGTTTCTAGGGCTGCTTCCGCTTCCCAACACGCCTCGCGTGACAGTCCTTCAATAGCGAGATCAAGATCGGAAGCCTCATGCCAAGGACTATCCCCGACAAGTGAGCCGAAAGGGATGACCTGTCTTCGCGCCGAACCTTTTTTGTAATACCTCCACACAGTGTTCGGCGATGGAGAGTGCTTCTTGATGACGATAGGTTAAGCGAGCTGAATCCAATTACCAGCCACCTCTCTCCTCAACAAAATCCTCAACTTCACGCATCGTTGGCATAAAGTTCGCGCAGCCGTGCCGGGTGACGACAATCGCACCGGTCGCATTGCCCAAGCGGGCAGACCGTTCCCAGCCCCAATCTTTCAGGGAGCCGTAAATAAAACCGCTGGCGAAGGCATCCCCTGCACCGAGCGTGTTATACACCTCGACGGGAAATGGATCGGCGTTGATAATTTTTCCACCGGACAGATAAACATCTGCGCCCTCAACCCCGCGCTTCATTACTAGTGCCTTTGGACCGCCGCCCAAAACTGTCTCAATCGCTGCGTTTACGTCGCCTTCAATATCTGGGTTGGAGATTTGGGAGTGGGTAATCGAGAGTTGGGAGGCATCGGAGAGGCTTGCCGCTTTGACCTCCTCCTCCGTTCCGAGTGCGATATCGACCAATCGCAGCGCAGATCTGGCGACTACCCCGAAAGCACGAGGGGTCGTGCCACTGGTCTGCGCGAAAGTCAAGGTCGAAAAACACAGTCGTTCCCAACGGATTGGGCATATTCAGCGGCAAAGAGGTTCGCGCTTCGACTCGGCTCTTTACTTAGTCCGGTGCCAGAAATGAGCAGTGCACGACTATCGGCAATAGGTGCGGCGAGGACATCGTCGATTGTAAGTTCGATGTCGGCGCAGTTATCGCGATAGTAGACAAGGGGGAATCGGTCCGGCGGCTCAATCCCAAGGACAACCGCACTGGTTCGATGTCCCGGTTTGTGACAGACAAACTTTGTTTCGATCTCCTCATCATTTAGAAATTTGAGGATGAAGTCACCCACCGGATCTTCGCCGAGCGCGGTGAGAACAGCGGATCGGAGTCCAAGCCGCCGCGTCCCAACGCTGATGTTTGTTGGGCATCCACCGACAAACGCGCCAAAGCTGCCGATTTCGGGAAAGGGGGCGCCGATGTCGTTGGAATAGAGGTCTATCGAACTGACGTCCGATTGCTAAAATATCATAAGTTCGTTCACTCATTGGTTCACCCTGATACGTAATCCCTAAACTTCTGGCTTTCCTCCGCAAATCGACAGGTAATCAGAAAAGCATCATTTCCGCAAGCGATTAACTGAACGCCTGCATCCGCCCACCGTTTGCCACTCTCAAAATCGTTGACATAGCTGCCGAGAACGATCTGAGATTCCTTTGCCTTGGCGATGACCTTTTCGATGCTATCGACAATCAACGGGTGGTCGAGTTGTCCAGAGATACCGAGCGATGTCGAGAGGTCATACGGTCCGAGGAAGATTGCGTCGAGTCCGTCGGTGGCAAGAATCTCATCGATGTTCTCCACCGATTTCGCGGTTTCAATCTGTCCGATGATAAAAATTTCCTCGTTCGCCTGAAGGGTATATTTCACACCATCTAATTTCCGAAAATCACCGTAATCGGTGTGTCCTATGCCAAATGCGACTCCCCTATCTCCGTCAGGGGCGTATTTTGCCCATTTAATGACCTTTTCGATATCTTCGCGGGATTCCACACGCGGAATCATCACGCCGGAGGCACCGGCGTCAAGTGCGCGGGAGATAAAATGCCGTTCAATGTCTGGCACACGCACGATACTGGGAAGATCTGATCCCCTCGCTGCTCTGACAATACGCCCGACCGTTTCCATCGTGAAGGTTGTGTGCTCCATATCCACGATGATGAAATCCGCCCCGGCACTCGCTAGGATAGTCGCAATTGATGGCACTGCAAACTCCATCACAAAGGTCCCGACGATGACTTCTCCGCTTCGTAAAGTTGATTTAATCTGTTTCGCTCTCATTTTTTAATTATACTCTCCGCTATCAGAAATCGCGCTTTTGGGAGGGAGATCCCCGATAAGTTCAAAACATGATTTGATGCGGTGCTCGGCACAAAAATCTCCTTGACATCCGATATCTTGTCACCTTGCTGTAAAGAGATCCTCTATTTCCCGTAATAGTTTTCGCGCACCCGCCTCAGCATTGGTAGTTTTTTTCATCCTTTTTGAAATCCTTAAAATTCTGTCACAATAGTCGTAGGATAGACTAAGATCTCCTTCGACACGGGCATTTTCTGCGACATTGAAATAACAGATTGTTGTGTGTGATAGACTTTGGTTCGCAGCCTCCCATAGGTTGGCGTGAGCGTAATTGTCTGCTGAAAGCGCGTATAGTCTGCCGGCGTCAGCCCAAGCCTGTGCCCTTTCCAAGGAGTTTGCTTGCATGGCATAATAGGTCCCCGCTTCCTGTGCACACTGTCGTGCGCGACCATAACGACGGCTGGCTGTGTAGGCAAGCCGTGCTCGCGCGTAACAATCTGCGCCCGATTCCCAATTCTCGGACTCAATGAAGTTCTCCGCAGATTCTCTATAAAGTTCTCCCAGTTTTTTGTACTCCACGCGGCTCCGTCGACTTTTCCCTGTTTGTGCATATTCTTCAGCCAATTGACGGACCTGGGCGGCAATCCTCTCATGGGGAGCCTGAACCACCTCATGGAGTTTTCGCAGCACAAATTCCGGGGCAGTCTCCTGTGGATTGAGCGGTTGAAATGTCAGATCAGAACCGGTGCCGGTGTCTGTAGGAAGTGCACCTGAACCTACGGGGGGAGGCACATCGGTGGAGTCACCATTAGAAGAGGAACGATTGTTAAACCAGGCTCTGAGTTCCGAGACCTCGCTGACCGACAACTGGTCAATTAACCCAATCATTTCTGTTGCTGTCGAAGGTGGTTGGGGAGGAATCATCAAATCCGATAAATGCCGAAATATCCAATCCGCTTTTTTGGTTGCTTTTACACTACTCAAGTAGAGGCGGTGTGCCTGTTGCACTTCTTGCAATGCCTGTTGTGACTGTGTGCCACCGATGAGTTGAACGGCTTTATCGTAGTGTAGATTGACTTGTGTTTCAAGTTGAAGTTGGGCCTGTTTCTCTACTTTTACTTTTTGTTCTTCAGATATCTCCGATTCAATTTTCTCTGCCGCCTCGGCAGAAAGGCGTAAATCCTTTCTGTGTTCGGATAACATTGCGCCTTGTATCGCTGGATTTGATTGGTTTGTCATTGTATGCCGCACGGCGTCCGCATACCATTTTTTACGGATATAATTCAAATCATTATACAATTCTGAGGCGGTTTGATACCGAGTCTGCATATCTCGATGCAATGCTCTCTGTAAGATCTCACGCATATCTTCAGGCAGTTTGTAGTCGAAGTCAATTTCTTCGCTCTGTTTTCTTACCTGAATTTCATCTTGCGTCTTTCCTCGAAATGGGAATTTCCCCATAAACATTTCGTAGAGGATCAGCCCTGTTGAGTAGAGATCCACCCGATAGTCGTAATTTCCTTCGTACTGTTCAGGTGCCATGTATCTTCGTGTGCCGGTGATCGTTCCCGCATAGTCGGTGCTTGCTTCAAGGATACGTGCAACGCCGAAGTCAGAAATCTTCGCTATTTGGTCAGTAGTCAGCAAGATATTCTGAGGCTTGATGTCTCGGTGGATAATGTTCTGTTCATGAGCGGCAATAAGACCTCGGCAGATATCAAGCGCAATATTGATTGCTAGATTACGGCGAAGAGGTGTCGTAGTGATTAACTGACGCAAACTGGAACCGTCAACGTACTCCATGACGATGTAGGCAACGTATTCATCATCGCCGGGTTCAACGGTATGGATGGAAACGATGTTGGAATGTCCCCAATTCCGTCCCATCGCACTCAACTCGGTAAGCAGGTAACGCATCCGTCCCGTGGGGTAGATTGATTTGGGCAACACTTTGATCGCAACGGTGCGGTTGGTGAATTCCTCTTTCGCTCGAAAAACGGAGGCAAAACTACCGTTGTTAATCAGTTTTTCAATACGATATTTTCCTAAGACCAGTCCATTTATCTGCATATAACACCATCCTCGCCCCAAGTTTCGACCGTTACGGCGAATTCCTAATTGTGAATCGAGTGCAGTTGCTTCGCTGCGTGCGTTGGATAGAACAATTCACGGAGCAACCTATTCTCCACACCCTATCCATTCTGGTGACCGAACTTGGGAAACTTAATACTGGCTGGATATGGTAGCTTGAAGATTAACACAAACGGAACAAACTGTCAATATACAAATATGCAAGCGTATGTGCAAGCCTACACGGTTATTGATCTGCCTTAGCGGTTCGCACGGCTTCTACTAACTTTTCTGCTTTCTCAGTCAGGAGATCGAATCGTCTATCAGCGATTACCTGATTGTTGACGAGTGCGCTGCCAACGCCAAGCGCGGCTGAACCTGCCTTGATGAATTCCCCGGCGTTATCAAGACTCACACCCCCGGTGGGGATCATTGGTATATGCGGCAACGGTGCTTTCACATCTTTGATGTAGCTTGGTCCCACACCACTTGATGGGAAAACTTTGACATAGTCCGCCCCGGCTTCCCATGCAGCCAAAATCTCCGTCGGCGTGAATGCACCCGGCATTACGATTTTACTGTATCGATTGCAGATTTCAATAACGTCCGGTTTTGTCACAGGGCTGACAACAAACTCCGCACCTGCCAGCATTGCTGCCCGCGCGGTTTCGGCATCGAGTACCGACCCCACACCTACTAGCACTTCATCACCGTATCGTGCGGCGACATCACTGATAACGCTTAACGCATTCGGTGTTGTCATCGTCACTTCAATCAGGTCGACACCACCCGCTTTGATTGCTGCTGCAACCTCAATTAATTCTGCGGAGCTATTCGCACGAATGATGGCGACAACCCCACAGGATTCGACCCGTTGCATCTGTTCCAGTTTCGTCATTATTTACCTCGGTCACGATAGATCGTTAAAAATCATCTAGAATACTCAGAAACTGCTTTTCTGTCGTTTATCTGTAGCCAGTAGTTTCCATCATAGAATGCCAAGCGGTGGTGTTACGACAATCTCGTCGGTAACCATACCAGCCGGCTGCGTCGCAACAAAAAGAATGGTCTCTGCGACATGTTCTGGCTTCAACATCAAATTCAGGTCAGGATGTCCCTCAATCCCAGCCCAGAATGGCGTATCGACCGAGCCGGGAGAGACCGCTGTGACACGGATATTCTCACTCCGGACCTCCTCCGCTAAAACCTTTGTAAACGCTAGTGCTCCTGCCTTTGCTGCACAATACGCGCTTGAGGCTTTGAACGCAACTTTCGCGGCAATCGACAGCACGTTGATAATTTGACCAGATTGACGTGCCAGCATAGAGGGTAGCACGTATTTCGAGCAAAGATAGGTGCTTTTGAGGTTGGAGGCGACCACCTGCGTCCATACCTCCGGATCTGAATCGACAACCATCTCGAAGGCACCGGTTCCTGCATTGTTCACAAGGATGTCTATTTGACCATAAGCTGCTAACGCTCGATTGACCAAAGTCTCCACCGCTTCCGCCTGCGTTACATCCGTCGGTACAACGAGAGACTTCCCCGCCATCTGTGCGTATGAGATTGGCAACTGTTTCGAGGTCATGCTGTGTCCGAGATGCGAGGACAACTTTCACACCTGTCCGCGCAAACGCCAAAGCCGTTGCACGACCGATGCCCCGCGAGGCTCCTGTTATAATCGCAACCTTATCCTTCAGCATCCCCACTCCCCTCAGGCTGTCCAGTGTTTATGTCCAAGCCCTATCTAAATACATCTCATGAACTCCGTCCGGGTCGAATTTTTATCTCGAAACTCGCCGAGCATTACGTTGGTCATCGTTTGTGAGTGCTGCTTCTGTACGCCACGAACCATCATGCACAGATGCTGCGCTTCAATGACAACAGCGACCCCAGCGGGAGTCAAGACTTCCTGTAACGCTTCCGCAATCTGCTTCGTCAGTCTCTCTTGCACTTGCAAGCGGCGGGCGAACATATCCACAATCCGTGGAATTTTACTGAGCCCAATGATTTTTTTGCGAGGAATATACCCAACATGACACTTGCCGAAAAATGGTAAAAGATGGTGTTCACAAAGGCTATAACACTCAATGTCTTTGACGATGACCATTTCGTCGTATTCTTCGTTGAAGATAGCATCGTTCACAACTTCTTCGACATTCTGGTGGTATCCCTGCGTCAAAAACTGGAGGGCTTTCGCTGCACGTTGCGGTGTTTTCAGGATGCCTTCCCTTGTCGGGTCTTCACCAAGAGTTTCCAACATCTGCGCATAGATGTATTCAAGTTTTGGATCGGCGGTTGTTGTTCCGTTGTCGATTGAATCGGCGTGGTAAATTTTCATTAACTGATTTCGTCTCCGTAGTAATCGAAATGGTTCTTAGGAGTTTCTTTCAATCGAAGCCGATGTAACTGAATCGGCTTCAGACTTGGTTCAATAACTTCCCAGAGTACCTTCACAAAGTTTTCTGAAGTTGGATTGAGGTTCTCAAACTCAGGTGTGTCTAAGTTAAGATGTTTATGATCAAATCGTCCGTGGACCTGCTTCTGGATTGTTTCATCAAGATGGTGTAAATCCGCAACCAGTCCAGTTCTTGGGTCCACCTCACCTTTTATCGTTACTTCGAGTGCATAGTTGTGCCCGTGACCGTAGAAATTGTTACACTTTCCGAAGATCTCTCGGTTTTCCGCATCGCTGAGTTGTGGACTGTGCAATCGGTGTGATGCACTGAATTCGTAAACTTTCGTGAGATAGACCATCTGCCCCTCTCCGTAATAGTCAGCAAACAGGGTTGAATCCTCATACAACCTGATGCGATGTAAGATTGTCCCTTTTAGATGCGGTTCAATCGCATGCCAAATCTGGATCGCTAAATTCTCACTTGTCGGTTGCAGGTGTGGGTTATTCGCGAAGGTGGGGTGTTGTACGTTGATATGTTTATGATCATAGTAGGCAACAACCTCGTCCTTGAGAACTTGGTCCAAATCGGTGATATTGATGACCATCCCCTGTTCAGGATTAAGCCTACCTTTGACTGTCGCTTCCAAGACATAGTTATGCCCATGACTATTTGGATTGGCGGTCGCTCCAAACAGGGCGTAATTCTCCGCATCGTTGAGTTCAGGAATATGATAATAGTGCGAGGCTTCAAAAGCAATTTGGCGCGTAAGGTAGTGCACGATGAGATTCCTTATCCGTGAGACAAGATGCGCGATTCAGCCATCACGTTGCACCGGTGTTTGACACCTGTGGATTGACCACTGTCACAGCCTAGTAACCTTGTTGTCTACTGTTTCGAGCTGCACACGCATCATCCACTCCCCACCGCCACGAAAATGCACATGCCGCCTTTTGAGCCATTCTACAAGGGTATCTCGATCCGGTGCTTCCCATTCGCAGACCATTCGACCGAGGACTGTGTCACACTGTACTTTCAAGCTCTTGACTCCGTCGCTCTCCTCATCAATAAATCGCTTGGCGAGCCTTTCCACATCCTGTCGTGTCATGCAGGCAATGATATGAGCAGAAACAAATTTGGGCATATTTGACTCCAATGTAAGACGAAGAATAAAACGAAATATGATTGCAGCGGAGTTTACAAAAAACTACCAACACTTCATCGTTCCTATCCCTGAGTGCAATGGAGGAAAGTGATTACTCAAGCAATTCCTGACAATTCCAATCCTGAAAATGACATGTTGGAGTTTGAATCGGAACACGCTTTGCCAGCCGATCGGAGGAAAGAGGGTTGCAATCACCGAGAGTCGGTAGTCATAGACGCAATCTTCCCAACTATACCCTAAAACTCCTCCATCGACAAGCCCATCGTAGTAGTAGCGCAACAGACCCTTCTCGATTTCATGCCGTTGTTGCGGGGGATCCCCTCCGACTAAGTAACAGAGATCATACGGTCCCATCCCTCGTTTATAGGTTTCCCAATCGCCGAAATAAAGCCCATCTGTTTCGGGGTTTTTAGGGTAAAAGAGATTCCAATGATGCAGATCGCCGTGTAGAAATGTCAAAGCCTTGTTATCTTTGATGCGCTCGGTATACAACCGTTCCCAGCCGTTGATGGCATGAAGCACAAAATCAAATATCTCTTGTGGCAATTCGTTCTGAGCTTGTCTGCAAATTGAGGAAGTAGTGCCTCTCTCCAGTGTTCGCAATAAGTTCGTATAATTTCGGGTGTGGCGGCATCCGCCATGCGGAGCGGTCCCTCCTTTTTCTCGCAGAAAATCAGTTTGTGAAATTCGCGGGTGCTCCCACCATTGCGTATGAAACTTCAACAGTTCATCAATAATCTGTTTGTAGAGAGTGACGGTGAATCTTTCTTCCTCTTTGGGAGGGGTTTCAGTGTGTGTTACAGAGGCATCTTCAAAGATAAAATAGCATTGACGGGCGTTACGGTCATAATCGAAATCGTAGCATCGGAAGACCGGTGGATCAGGCATTTGAGCGACGATTTCGTTGAAGAAAACCGATTCCGCAATGCCGCCTCCAAACCAATCGTCCCGATAATTCTTGAAGATTAGATCGGTATGAGGACAATTCTCCGATTGAGTGGAGTAGGTTACTTTCAACCGTGTAAAAAAAGCAGCGGTTGATTCAAATGTCTCACCAATCTGTACGTCAGTTACGGTGTGTTGAGGCAGATGCCCGTTCTGTTGGAGCCGCTTCGTCAGCCATTGTGGTGTAATCTGTTCGGCACTGGCTATCAATTAATCGCCTGTCTCTTCTGAGTTGGAGTAGTAGGGGACGCAAATTTGCGTCCCCTACTAGCTCAGTATCACTATCGCCTATCCTTTTGCGATAGGTGCGCCGATAAGATTACCCCACTCTGTCCAGCTACCATCATAGTTGCGGACCTTCTCGTAACCCAAAAGGTACTTCAGCGCAAACCATGTGTGCGAGGAACGTTCTCCAATACGGCAGTAAGCGACCGTCTCTTTATCTGGATCGACACCCGCACCTCGTAGATCTCCTTCAACTCGTCGTAGGATTTGAAGGTGCCGTCGTCTGCCACTGCGGTTGCCCACGGGATATTCGCTGCGCCCGGAATACGTCCCGGACGTTGCGCCGTTTCGGGCAACCCTGGGGGCGCGATAATCTCGCCGGTGAACTCCGCAGGAGAGCGCACATCTACAAGGTTGACCACTCCCTGTTCCAGCGTTGGTAGAACGTGATCTTTTGTCGCCCGCACATTGTCATCGGGGAATTTCGCTTTGTAGTCGGTGGCAGCATGCGAAGAAGTATCTGTGACTAACTCACGACCCTCATCAATCCACTTCTGGCGTCCACCATTCATCACTTTCAACTTGCTTTCGTCATGCCCATAGTAACGGAATTGCCACAGAGCATAAGTAGCGAACCAATTGTTATTGTCGCCGTAGAAGATAACTGTGGTATCGTTGCTAATGCCGTTATCTTGGCACAGCTGTTCAAACTGATCTTTTGTTAAGATGTCGCGCCGCACTTGGTCGCACAACTGGGTTTGCCAGTTAAGCCCGACAGCGCCGCTGATGTGTCCTTCGTCGTAAGCCGCTGTGTCCACATCAACCTCCACCAAACGGATGCCCGCATCGCTACCGTGTCGGGCAACCCAGTCGGTGGTTACTAACACTTCAGGGTGAGCTATATCTGCCATAATAAAATAACCTCCTGCCTTAATTTGAAAATTGATATATTCTGCTGTCTGAGTGGGTGTCATGGTTGATGTCCCACCCGTTCTTTATGTTACTGCCGTGTTTTTCCAATGCGTACGGAATCGTGATGCTCGGTTCTGTAATCTTCCCGCTTCGGGAGGGTAGAACCGAGACCCGCATTCCGTACAAGGAATCGTAGCATATTTTTGTTGGAATTACAAGTTTTTTGATAGGATGCACGGTAGGGAGAACAATGGGCAGAAAACCGAAGGAGGAGGGGCTTGACGGCAGAATTGATTAAATATCCGCAGATTTCAACTTACGCTATACTAAGAAAAAGATTTCCACCTTCGTCCACACGGACACGGACCCAAGGTTCAATCCAGATGGTCGTGTCCGGCTGCTCGATGACAGCGGGCCCGGAGAAATCGCTACCCCACGGGAGCAGTGAACGATCATAGATGGGACATTCCACAAACCGATCTTCCACGTAGACAGGTCTGACACCTTTCTGTGCGTCTTGCAAGGTGGTTTTGGGACTGGGAATAAAGTCTTTCAGTGACAGGTTTGGGCGTACACCAATCACAGATGTGCGAAGATTTAACAGGCGGATTGGGATGCTATCCAACAGTGTCTCTAATCCACTAAATGTCTCATCGACTTGCCCGTATTGCCGGAGATATGCGCGACGAAAACTTTCTGCAATAACGAGGGGAGACACGGGTCCCGCCGGTAGCGGTGTCCGTATGACATGGGTTTGCCCCTCATAGGAAATCTCCGCTTCCCGCAAAACACTTACCTGTGTCAGGGGGACCTGCTCTCTCTTGATTAGTCGTTCTCCCTGCGCGAGGTGTTCAGCAAAAATCCCCTCTGCATCGGTTGGGTCGAGTTCGGAGAGACGCCGGTTGATCATGGTCACAAAATCGTGCTGGAGGTCGGCGATGACACACCCCCAAGCGGAGGCGATGCCGGGATAGTAGGGGACAAGTGCCTGTGAAACACCAAGCTCCCGTAGGAGGAAACTGACCATCAGTGGTCCTCCACCCCCAAAGGAGAAAAGAACAAAGTCTCGTGGATCATGTCCACGGTCGATGGAGATGCGCCGGATGCTACCGGCGATTCGGTTATTTGCGATGGTGAGGATTGCCAGTGCCGCCTCTTCTAGGGAGAGACCGAGCGGTTTACCGATTTTCTCGATGAGAACAGACCGGGCTGTATCGAGGTCAAACGAAAAATCGGTCGCTCTAGCGATGGGATAGTCCGGGTTGATCCGCCCCAGAATCACGTTAGCATCCGTGACTGTGGGCTCAGTGCCTCCCAGTCCATAGCAGACGGGACCCGGTTCAGCACCGGCACTTTCGGGACCTACTTGGAGAAGACCTCCCTCGTCAATCCGGGCGATGCTACCACCACCCGCGCCGATGGTATGAATATCAATCATCGACACCATGATTGGAATGCCAAACTCCGGTTCTATCCCGTTTGACACGACCGGTTTGCCCTCTGTTACTAGGGATACATCAAGACTCGTGCCTCCCATATCGTAACCAATCAGGTTCTGAAAACCGCTTTCTGCGGCGATCTTGGTGGCAGCGATAACCCCAGCTGCGGGACCCGATAGGATGGTGTTTACTGAAAAATCCTGAGCGGATTCCACCGACATCATCCCACCGTTCGATTGCATGATGAGCAAATTCCCGCTGTAACCGCGTTCTTCTAAGCGTTGTTCGAGCCGAGCCAAGTAACGACTTACTATCGGCTGAACGTAGGCATTCACAGTAGCGGTGCTGGTGCGTTCAAATTCACGGAAAAGCGGGAGGATGTCTGCGGAAGCGACAGTATAAAGACTAGGGAAAGCGTGTTTCGAGGAGGGCTTTGGCGCTGCGCTCGTTCGTGGGATTGATGTAAGCGTTCAGGAAACTGATGACGATGGCTTCAACACCGTCCGAAACCAGTTCTTCGGCAGCCGCGATTACCTCCTCCTCCGCTAATGGGACGAGAATTTCGCCTTCTGCCGAGACACGCTCAGAGACCTCTTTACGTCGATCTCGTGGGATTAAAGGTTCATAAGATCCGGTGAGACCGTAAAGGTGCGGTCGATCGCGACGTCTCAGTTCCAAAATATCCCGAAAACCGCGCGTTGCAATCAGACCGCAGCGTACACCTTTGCGCTCCAAGATGGCGTTGGTCGCCACAGTGGTGCCGTGAATGACTAGTTCGATGTCAGGATAGGAAACCTCAAGCGCATCCAAGCCAGCAATTAAGCCGATAGATGGCTCGCGTGGCGTAGTTGAAGCCTTTCCAATCTGTAGATGTTTTTGGTTTTCATCTAAAACGACAATATCGGTGAAAGTGCCGCCAATATCCACACCAACAAGTTTTCCCATAAAATTGTCACAGGTCTCCGTGCAGAGAACACCTCTCTCCTTCTATAACGTTTTTTGCCCTTAAAGTTTTCTAGCTAGTAGATCAACTCTTCAAAATTGACATTCGGGTATTGAGATATGAATCTTAATCGACTAACCGGAATAGGTGGCAATTTGCGTTATAGTAACATCTGAAATGTCTACCGTCAAGTGCCAAAAGGGACAACTACTCAACCTTAGTTTCATTTCCTTCGTTGTCGTCAGCTACGGCATCAGTTTCCGACAATGAGGCGGTGCCAGATGGGGGCTGGATGCCAAGATTGGCACGAATTTTAGCACTAATCTCGGTGGCGATTTCAGGGTGTTCCACTAGGAAATCTTTAGCGTTGCTTTTACCCTGTCCGAGCCGTTGATCGTTATAGGAAAACCAAGGACCACTTTTCCGAACAATGCCTTCCTCTGCACCCACATCCAAGATTTCCCCAATTTTACAGATGCCTTCGCCGAAAATAACGTCGAATTCAGCTTGGCGGAATGGCGGAGCGACCTTGTTTTTGGCGACCTTCACACGGGTGAGGTTTCCGATTATCTCTTCGCCATCCTTCAGACGGTCTGCCCGACGTACCTCCAACCGAACCGATGCGTGAAATTTGAGTGCCAACCCACCGGGTGTCGTTTCTGGATTCCCAAACATGACGCCAATCTTCTGTCGGATCTGATTGGTGAAAATCACACAGGATTTGGATTTGTTGGTAACACCGGACAGTTTACGCAAGGCTTTGGACATCAAACGTGGCAACAGTCCAACGTGGGCGTCCTCCATGCTGCCTTCAATCTCCGCTTGAGGGGTGAGTGCTGCAACAGAATCAACAACCACAACATCAACAGCCCCGCTACGAACTAAGGTTTCAACAATATCTAACGCCTGTTCCCCGGTGTCCGGTTGGGAGATTAAGACGTTTTCCATGTTCACACCAATCTGCTTGGCATACAGCGGATCTAGCGCATGTTCAACATCAATAAATGCTGCCACGCCCTCCTGCTTCTGTGCCTCTGCGATGATGTGAAGTGCAAGCGTAGTTTTACCACTCGCTTCATGACCAAAGATCTCAATAATTCGCCCGCGGGGAACACCACCAACCCCTAGCGCAATATCTAACGCTATTGAGCCTGTCGGGATGACCGCGACAGGAATTACTTCGTCGCTATTAAGCCGCATAATTGAGCCTTTGCCGTGCTGCCGCTCAATTTGAGAGATTGCCAGATCTATCGCTTTCTGCTTGTCTGTACTCAATTCCATGTTGTAATTCTCCTTGTATGGATGGATTAGAATCGTTTTAACAAGTTAATTCTAACATAACATTTGTTAAAAATCAACAAAAAAAGAGAGAACGCCTAAATATGAAACTGGATTGACAGGAGAGTGTTGTTACCCCTCATTTTCCTACCACGATAACTCCGTTGCGGACTTCGACCTGATCGCCAGATTTCAGCCGAATCTGGTAGATATAGGGTCCGATGTTCACGATTTCTCCCGCCTCATCTCTGCCGTCCCATTCGACACTCATTGTGTTAGAGCGCATTACCGTTTGATTCACTAAGGTTCGGATGAGTTTATTATGAAGATCAAAAATTTCAACGACCGGCTCCGTACCCCCGATGTGGGAGGTGTTATGGTTCACGATTGTGAGTCGTGTCCGATCGGCGATCCCATTTCCGTCGGGTGAGAACGGGTTAAAACTCCACGCTGCTTGGATCTGCGATGGGACCGCCTGAAACAAAGCAACTTGAGAGATGAAGTTAAGTTCCATACGAACGACCTGTCGATTCAAGTCAATTTCGCCGCCCACCAGCTGCCATTCTTGCGCGGACGCATCCCAAGCAAAGACTTTCAGATCCGACTCTCGTCTGATGTTTGCAACCATCAAATCTGAGGAGCGATAGGCTAATTCAAGCAGCGCAGGACGCTCAAGGATTAAATACTCAAAGGGATCAAATGACACGATTTTCGCGCCCGACACATCAAAAAACTCAATCTCATTGAGTTGGAGGTTATTCGCCTGCTTGCTCTCCGTAATTTCGAGGCGAAAATAACGGGCGGAAGGTCGGGTAGGTAGTTCAATGGTAGTGGCTCGATCATCGAACGCCGTGACTTCAAGAACGCTTGTGAAATTTTCGTTGTCGTTCGATGTGAGGAGCGTCGCACGCTGTGGACCGAAGGAGGTTCCCCCTTCCGCGTTAGCGTGCACAACGATACGGCTGACGGTGCGTCGGACATCGAGATCAATTGTCAGACTGACAGGCAGCGGCACCAGACCTGCGACCCACGTAGACGGCGATTCCAAGATGCCATCCACGGCGAAGGTTGGTGGTTGATCGGGCAATGCGCTAGTCGCTTCAGCAGCAAACACGCCTTGGCGGAGTGCTTCAAAGCGGTACACAACCACCGGTGCTGTTCCTTTAACAATGCGACTGTTTCCTCGATAGGATAGCGGATCAACCGCTTCAGGCGGCACCGAAAAAAATTGTAATTTCGTGATGTGTTCATCAAAGGCATCCACCGGAATGACAACGGTTGCTCGGTCTCCATCGCTCAAGGTGAAAACCCCTCCTTCAGCTGCTTCAGGTTCTAACTCTGGGAGGTAAAAGAGGGAAATCGTTTCTCTGTCTACGGCGTTCGGTGAATCCGGATCCGATGATGCTAGTTCCCTAGCAATCACCGAAAGTCGGTTTACTCCAGCTTCGAGCATCACCTCTATGGAGAAGGTAGCACAGTAAGGTCCGGTCAGATCCGGCTGAGCAGGCATCTGTTAGGGGAAGTCGAATTGCGATGGATTGAATCTGTCCCTGTATAACCCGATCGTTCGTATCCAAGAACTGGATCGACTCAATCGCAATTGGCTCAATCTGCCACCCTTCGAGCATCTCAATTTGGATGAATTGTGCGGAGACGGCTGATGGAAAGTCAACCACAGTGCTGTCGAAATTGGGATCTATGCCCGATGGAATGTTGAAGGGTTGACCTGCGGAGAAATTGGTTCCAGCCTTAGAGAACGCAAGGTGTGCCAACCGTGGACCGCGTGGAAATCCGCGATCAACCACATGTCGAATCAGCATTCCCTTGAGCTCTTGTGCACTTCCGAGATCTACGACAACCCCGTAAATTGAGTGTGTCAGTTGCGCGAGATCTGGGATGCCGCCGGGCGTGTTGGTCGAAACGAGAACCTCCCCTCCGACTGAGGACTCAACGATTCCCTTGATTTCTACCGTTTGATTGTTTGTCGTGAAATCGGTAGTCGGGCTGATGATAGAAAGATTCGTCCGAGCTGCTAATTCGCCGGCACTTAGAAAGATGAGGATAATTGAGAAAAGGGAGAGGTAAAATCGCATATTTCTATATCACTTTTGAAGCGTGAAACGTAATGCGTAGGTTGGGTTGAGCGGTTAGCACCAAACCCTATCAAGCACAATAGGAGGCTTGCTTTGCAAAAACGTAGTCTTCTAAATAGATTGAGTGAAACCCAACAGACAGTCCATCCCGCGCACCGATAAACGAAATGTGACGCAATCAAAATGCCTGCTGATACAAATCAATCATGTCTCCTTCTGTGCAAGGGCGGGGATTGGTCAGGTGGCACCCATCCGCCATTGCCTGCCGAGCGAGGCGAGGAATCATCTCTGCCTTCACATCTACCTCCCGCAAGTGTGACGGAATGCCAATATCCTTGCACAACTGCGCAACCTGATCGATTGCGGCTTGTGCGGCTTCCTCCGGTGATAGTGGGTGGGTATTCACGCCGAATGCACCAGCGATGTCCTTTAGCTGATCTGTTGCCGCATTCTTGTTGAACGCCATTGTGTATGGAAGGAGAATCGCGTTTGCAAGCCCGTGATGTAGGTCAGCGATGGTCGAAAGCGGGTGTGCCAGTGAATGGGTGACACCCAGTTCTTTCTGAAACGCGATGGCACCCATCATCGCCGCCATCATCATCGCACCACGTGCTTCGAGGTCGCTGCCATTTTCGACAGCGCGACGCAGGTTTTGAGCACCAGTTTTGACCCCGGCAAGCGCAATCGCGTCACACATCGGGTGATAAACAGTTGAAAGGTAGGATTCAAGGTTGTGGGTAAGCGCGTCCATCCCTGTTGCAGCGGTCAAGGTTTTGGGCAACCCGACGGTCAATTCCGGATCCACGATTGCGGTTTTGGGCAGCAGATGGGGACTAAAGACCAGTGCCTTGCGGCCCAGCGATTTTATCGTGACAACGGCACCGCGTCCGACTTCACTCCCAGTTCCTGCGGCGGTTGGAATGGCAAGCATTGATGGAAGGTCGGACGAAATTTTCTCCAGTCCGCCGTTGAGGACTTCGTATTCCGCTAGCGGTAGGGGATGGGTCGCCTTCAAACAGATTAGTTTGGCGACATCTAGCGGACTCCCGCCGCCCATGCCAATTACGAAATCGCAGCCTTCCTTCTGGAAAACAGCCGCGCCGTCGAACACATCCTCTTCGACCGGATTGCCATGGACACCATCGTAGATTGCGTGGTCAATTCGTGCCGCTTCGAGTCGCTGCGTTACTTCGTTTGCTAATCCTACTTGGCGAATCCCCTTGTCCGTTACCAATAAAACTTTGTGGGGGGAAAACGCCGAGAGCTGTTCCGCGAGTGTGTTAATTGTCCCGACGCCGAAGATAATTTTGTTAGGAAAACTGAAGACAGAAGGGGACATATAAGTTTCCTTATTGGTTCATTAGTGCGTTGGTTCATGCGTGATGCGTGAAACGTGAATTTTAAGGGTTCGCCAATCGTAGTTCTGCGGTTGTCTTCCCACCATGCTCGACAAGCACTTCGATAACGGCTTCATTGTCCTTCCGAATCGCATCGTCTAACGTGGTTTGGTCACGATCCCCCGTTGCCCGGCGGTTAATATCTACTCCGTGTGCTATCAGCGACAGCGCAGTTCTACGATAGGCATCTGAGTTTTCCTGTCCGCTTGTTGAGCCGCCTTGAGCTGCGGCGTGGAGTGCTGTTGTCATACCGAACGCATCCCCGTTGACATCTGCCCCATCTCTAAGGAGCAATTCGACAGCTTCGGCACACCCTGCGTCCGCCGCCCAAGCGAGTGGGGTTCGCCACCATTGGGCTCGACGCGCGTTCGCATCTGCCCCTGATTGAATGAGTCGCTCACACAGGTCGGGCATATTTCTATGGGCTGCCTAATGCAGTGGTGTTGCGCCTCGGAGGACACCTTCTCTGAGCGATTCGCCGATAGCGAGTGCGGGCTGCTGTTCGAGAAGTTCCTGTGCGGTTAATTCATCTCTATTGTCAATTGCATCGATCAGTTCATCTACAGATGCCATGCTTTACTCCAATAAAATTCTGTTCTTATTCGTGTGGATTCGCGTGATTCGCGGGCGCTTATTTTTATCCACGAATCTTCGTCAATCGACGCGAATTTTTCTTGTCCGCGTTGTAAACCTTTGTAACTTCAAAAACATTATATAGTAAAGTTCATAATTATTTGGGCACTGTGGGAGGGGTTTTCAACCCCGATTATACGGATACCTCTGATTTCGCAGGCGAACTTAGAAGGTTGCCCTCCTACAAGGTGTATCTCCTGCCATGCCTACTGGAGAAGCGTCTACTTATTTTTAGAATTCACTATAATTGAAGGCAATCCGATTGGAAGTATAAGGGGATTGCACGTAAATGTCAACAATCTTTCAAAGTAGCGAGAACACGGAAATTCTATTGACACTAAATTCGGTCAGTGCTATAATGTGAACCCAAAGCCGAATTTTGACGCCGATTCAGAACTTCCATATTAAAAATCTTACGCTGATCCATGCTCAGAGTTTTCATCATTATATAGACGGGAGGTGGACCGTGATAACGTCTTTCTTAGAAAAACCTGCTGATTCACCGCTTATGCCAATTCCAGAAACAGCGGTAAATATTTATACGCCAAAAAATCCCTTTACGGCAGAGGTCGTGAGTAAGTATCGGATTACAGATAGTTCCAGTCCGAATTACGGTTGGCATGTCGTTCTTAATCTGAATGGGAGCAAAATGGTGGGAAAATATCGCATCGGTCAGAGTGTCGGTGTGGTGCCGACTGGACGCTTCAATGACGCTGAGTTTAATTATGCGCATGAGGCACTGAACGATAAAATTCGCCTGTATTCGATCACTTCCGCCTGCTGGGGCGATGATTGGAAGGGAGAAACCGTATCACTGTGTGTAAAACGGGAAATCACAGAGGATGCAGAAACAGGCGAATTGGTTTTGGGTGTAGATTCAAACTATATCTGTGACGCAAAGCCGGGCGATGAGATGCTCGTCACAGGACCGGTCGGCAAGAGCTTCCTACTGCCGGATAACCCGCTCGACTACAATTACGTTTTCACCGCAACGGGGACCGGGGATTGCCCCGTTTGTCGGGATGCTCGTTGAGTTGTTCAATCAGGGCTTTGAGCGGGAAGTGTGGCTTGTCTTTGGCGTTCCGTATTCCACAGACATCATGTATAACGAAGAATTTCTTTATTTCGCAGAACGTTACCCGAATTTTCATTATACCACTGCAATCAGCCGGGAACAGACCAACGCTCACGGCGGTAAGATGTATGTACAGGACCGCCTCGAAGAGCATCAGGACGGGACTTGCTCCCCTGCTAGAGCAACCGGACACTCTGTTTTATATGTGTGGGCTAAAGGGCATGGAGTATGGCATCTACCCGTGGCTCTATCGGATAGGGTCAAACCTTGTCAGCCTTCCGGACGGTTTGACCGTAGCGGATGTTGAGGGGTTGTCTCGTAACGCTCCGCAATGGTCAAAGATCGAGAGGGCGCGGAGATAAAGGGCGTCTATTCAAAGAGACATATTAAGCGTGATGTGTGAAGCGTGATTAGGAAAAGGGAACATTTTGTAAAATAGGATCCGTTTATCAGACATTTTCTGCCTCCGCGTCTTCGTTCATCCCTTCCCACTTTCCGCCTCAACTGCGTCGGCAGTCACGTGAATGACCTGCCCGGGGCGCACTTCTCTTAGGATCTGATTCACTTTCAACATAGCGGGTTGAACGTCCTTGAGACGATTGCTTCTGGCAGAGATTAGAATAACACCGATAGCGTATTTGCTGAGGTTCTGTTGATGTTCGATGCCATTGTCCATTGTCACCAGTACGTCAAACGCTGCCGCGGCTTGCTGGAGGAGGTCGCCGTTTCGCTTGCCTTTCCAACCCAACCGAGAAACCGTCGTCACTTGAAAGTTGGCATCAAAATCCCGTATCAATCGCTAGTCCAAGTTTTCGTCAAGCAGTACGCGCACGATGGGTTCCTATTGCTCTCGTCAAAGCGAATTCTAAAAAAGTGATTGCCTGTTCACGAGAAACAGAAGGAAATCCTTCAAGAAAGTCGTCAAGACTATCTCCTGCTTTTAGGTGGTCAATCAGTGACTGTATAGGAACACGAGTGCCGGTAAACACCGGCAGTCCTCGGTGAATGTCTGGGTCTTGATTTATTACTTGCTCGGGTTTCATTTCCTATCAAGCCTCTCGGTTAAAATTGGAGGAATGCTTCCCAAATCTGCTAAGGATTTCACGTTTCACGCATTCTATCCACATGTCGGCCCGCTGGGACTTCAGGTCACTTGGATCCCATGTTCTATACACATATCGCACCTCTGGTGCTAAATAAAATCACGGACCAATCAACCAATGAATCGCCTCCCGTTCTCCGTGTGCTCGACGATTCAGACAATTATCCCACCGCCACACCCCTCAGACTGCTGGTGCTAAATGAACGAATGAACCAATGAACTAATGTACTTCTCACGTTTCACGCATCACGTTTCAATCTACGTTTATCCGACCTCCTCACCATCAAGTCTACCAACCTGCAGATCGATTTCATCGCGGGTTTCCATTTTCTCGATTTTGCCGTCCGCCATGTGGAAAATTCGATCTGACACATCGAGCATCTTTGTGTCGTGAGTGGCTGTGATGATTGTGACCCCGTTCTCCTCATTCAGCCTTTTCAGGAGGTCGATAATCTCAAGCCCGGTCCGCGTGTCTAGGTTTCCCGTCGGCTCATCTGCAAGCACGATCGCGGGATCGTTTGCGAGAGAACGCGCAACGGCGACACGCTGTTGCTGACCACCGGAGAGTTCAAGCGGCTTATGCTGGACCCGTTCTCCTAACCCCACAGTGGTTAGCAGTTCAATCGCTTTTGTGCGGCTATCGTCAGCGGTCATCCCAGCGAAAATCATGGGGAGGGAGACATTTTCGAGGGCAGTCATCACAGGGATTAGGTTGAACGACTGGAAAATGTAGCCGATTTTGCGGCAGCGTAGCCACGCCAATTCGTAGGCATCGAGTTGCGCGATATCCACCTCATCGATGTAAACCCTACCTTCTGTTGGCTTGTCCAAGCCACCAATCATGTTGAAAAGCGTGGACTTGCCGGAGCCTGATGGTCCCATAATCGAGACATACTCGCCGCGGCGGATTTCAAAGTTGGTGCCTCGCAACGCCTCAACGACGGTGGTGCCCATCTCATATTTCTTAATCAGGTTTCTGACCCGTACCGTGTTTTCCTTGGGTAGATCTCTCGCAAATCGTGTGGGTGCTTCTGTTGGAACGGCAGTGCTCACTGCTGTTTCCGGTGCTACCGCTTCTTGAAGTTCTGCCATTTTACTGTTTTCCTCTCTTCGTTTGTTGGGGAACCGCAAATCCTACCATTCCCCGCTTGCCTAACTGCCGCATAAACGTGAATAGCGATGTCTCCGCCTCTTTTCTCGTCATGCGATACTTCTCACAAAGTTGTTTGACAACATGCCCGATGGAATTATGTCCATCACACAGTTGCCACACAAAGGCTCCGACATCGTCTAAGACAACCACACGTTTAGGGGGTAACATAAACAGCTTTGCAACCAGTCGTAGCCACACTGTTTCCTTCTGGGGGATGACCAACGAAACTTCCCCATTGTCATCGACTTCCCATTCGATTAACTGGTTGCGTAGCGGCAATGATTGTAAGATATCTGATCGATCCAGCTGGGATTCTGGACGTTTTTTGAGCCTGAGTTTATAAAGGATTGTATTAATCATCGACTTATTTGCTTTATTGGTTCAATATCTAGGCTATAGCGTAATCTGCGCCATCGCGTAGGCGAGAGCACAGACGGCGAAAAGTATAGAGACCCCAATTTTTGAATTGCAATCAGGAAACTTTCTTTTGAAATCCGTTACACAATACGCTGTAGCCGCTGCGGAAAATGTTAGGCTCACGCCAAGAAAAATCGGACCCGGAAGGAGCTCTCCGATGAAGTACCCCGGCAACAGACAAAACGTGCACCCCAACAACAATATGGGGCTAGAGTCGTACCACTTCATACCTCTTCCCCCCTTTTGCCGCAATTGTCGTGCGTTGATTCATTGGATTGATAGACGATATACGTTACTCCCTACTTCCACGTTTCACTCGTTAATGACACCGGATACTTGCTGCTATCTCTTCTGCTGTCCGTGCCGCGTCCTGTTTGGCGATCGCTTGGACGACGTAGATCCGATTTGAGTGATGACAGTGCCAGAGGTAAACGGCGAAAGTTTTGCGACGCATAATTTTGTCGATAACCAGAGCGGGTGCAAGGGGAACGCGGTCTATAATGCGGGTCTCCTCCCCGATTAGCGTAAGACGTTCATCTGCATCACCGTTGCTGGATTCAATTGAGAACCCGTATCCGCGGATGGCTTTGGCGTATCTCCCTCGAAACCACTCCTCAAGATTCTGTTCCTTCAGCGTAACATCGGCGACCCCATACCGTTCGATGCTAACCTTTCGACTTCCATCCACAAATGAAAAGAGCAGGTAGCCGGACAACAGTTTATGTTTATCGAGGCGATACCGCCGCGGAACTTCTGCATTGAGTTGGTAGGCACTCCAAAGCGTCGCCTGTCCTACCGAGTGATCCCGAACAGAACTCAAAATACGGCTGGTTGTCTCCTTAATATTCTCTTTGAGATGTCCCATGACCTGCGCAATCGTGATCCGTTTGCAGGTTTGGCAGTGAAAGATGACGCCGCTCGCCCGAAAGTCGCCCTTCCAGTTGAAGAAAACAACCTCTCTGTTCTCGAAAAACTCTGCGTCCCTGATCAGGTTGACATTACGCTGGACATGAAGATTTGTGTTTTTGCGTTTGTAATTTTTACGAACGAGCTTGAAATAGTCGTCGAGAACTTTCTGGAGATCTGGCTTCTTCTGCTTTGACTCTGACCACTTTAACTCAAGGCGCGGCATGTCCGCGTCCTCTAGGCGCAAGTATCCGCTTTTCTCGTCGCCAGATAATCCACTCAATTCCCAATCTTCGGGTAGTTCAAGGGTAATGCCGCCCCACCCTAAAGTTGTCCATTTCATGATTGGTTCACTGGTTTATTAGTCCATTGATTATGAATTTAATGACTCATTGATGGCATATAGGGCTTCCACACATATTGCTGACGGTCCCTGATGAATCTTAATAGGTGTCGAGATATGAATCCCGATCTACGGGTTCTACTGACTGGTACTTACGTTTTACGCATTAGAACGGTTTTACGATTACCGCTTTGGAGACTAGCGCAATTGCAACCGTTCCCATTCCAATCAGTCCAACGCCGCAAGTAAAACCTGCCGCCAAAACGGGATTAAACATGAACCATCGTTTCAGACCGAATTTCTTAATCATGTAAAATCGACCGATAATTGCTCCCATCACTTTTGGAAGCATCATTCCGGGGTCGGCACCGATGCCACCCACGATCCCGTAGAACCACATGCTTGGCATCTTTGCTGCCCAGAGAACACCGTAGATTGCCATTGAGGAGGCGAAGCCTGCCGTCACATAGCTGCCACGAATGGCTTGCAACATCTGGCTGTTTCCGTCCCGCAGCGAGGTTTTCCAGAGGGATTCGTTGGTCGCATAGAGGGGCCACCATGTCTGTGCAAAGGGATATTGCGCCGACGGAATCGGTGCGATTTTCCAGACAAAATGCCAAACCACAATGCCAGAGATGATTAGAACCGGCATAATCAGCAATCGTGCGGCGATACTGCTGGTGAAGGTGGTGCCTGTCAATTCAAGAACACGCCAACTTTGTGTGCCACGTCCATAGTCTTCGTCCGGCAGCGGGACGAACCAGATATCAATCTCCTCATAGCGACTCAAGATAAATGTCGTTTCGTGGAGGTAAGGAATCTCGAAAAGATCGCGACCGAGAATCCCATACGTTCGCGCAGTTATGTATGAATTGATCGGAGTATAAAGAAAGGCAAAGCCGAGCAGGAAAACCAACGGAAAGTTCGGTACCATATAAACGTGCACGAGATAGATGAAAGTCCCCATCCCAAAGAGCCACAGGATTGCCATCAACCAGAGCGGAAAATCGCCACGTCCCGGTGGTGGTTGTAGCGATCTGCTTAACCCTGACTGTTCCTGTCGAGCCTGTCTAAACTTGATCAACATCGGAATCGAGGCTGCGATACCAACGAAGGCGAAGCTGAAAGATTTTCCCATCCCGAAGCTGATCCAAAAATCAAGACCATTGTATAAGCCCGTACCGCGGACATCCAAGCCGGGACGCCACTGATGCAAGATTTCCGCAGGATAGAGGATTCGTGGATTCAGGATAAACTGGGTAAAGAGTGCTCCTGCAAATTCCGTCATGATGATGGGAAAGGGCAGCACAAAACCGGTGAGTACCGCTCCAAAGTCGGTCGATAGCGCGAGCACACCGGTCGGCGCGATTCCTTCGATGACGTTTGTGAAATCGATGAATGGAATCTTCAGGAGTTGAATCGGTGTTGACATCATCACCCCTGTGAGTGAAGGGACGCCAATATAAATAAATCCCCAGATCAATCCCGCCATAGATCCGACCGAAAAGACACGCCAACGCCACGTTTCCACGCGTCCGGTAGTCTCTGCTAAGGCGGTTGCGCCCTGCGCTTCGATGGGTGCCATTGGGTAGGGCAGCCGCTCCATGTCCGCTGTCAGACGAAACAGAAAGTAGCCGGCACTGATATGGCGGATCTCCGCTAACAACTTGAATATCAGAAAGAACGCGATGGGCCAAAACCAGTCCATGTGCAAGAGCGAACGCTCCGCAATGGCTAGCGCATCTTTCGATGGCACAATCCAGAAAGGGATCTTGTCCGCAATTTCATACGACTGGGCTTGTGGCGTATTAATAAAATAAGCGTACCAGATAAAACCGCGATACTGACCCCCAGATCCGACCGCTGCGCCGGTGAGTCCAAGCAGCATATAAAGTTCTTGTCGCCGAGCGGTTGTGAAAGATCGACGCGCTAACTCCGTGAACAGGATGACTGCGACCCACGGTGCTGCTCCTGCGCCGGACTGACCGGAGACTAAGGTCAGGTAGATTGACCCCGGCATCATCAGCAAGCCGACAAAAAGTGCGCCCAAAAAGACCTTCAGCGTCAAGCCCGACTCGAAGGTGCGGATACCACCATCGATGTCGTAACGTTGGGCCCAAACTTGCCATTCTTCTGCTTGTGTAATTCGTTCTCTTGCCATAACAGCTCGAGTTCATTTGTTCAGGGGTTCATTGATTCATTAATCATGGATTTAATGAATCATTGATGGTATATCCTTTAGTTCAGTAGGTCGATTTTCCAAAATCGACATTTTTGCGTCGAGATATGAATCTCGACCTACAGGTTCTGCTGATTGGTACTTACGTTTTACGCATTACGCATTAGAACGGTTTGACAATCACTGCTTTGGAGACCAGTGCAATCGCAACCGTTGCCATGCCGACAAGCCCGACGCCACAGACGAAACCTGCCGCCAAGACGGGGTTATACATAAACCAGCGTTTCAGACCGAACTGCTTGATCATGTAAAACCGACCGATGAGTGCGCCGATAACCCGTGGGACCATCATCCCTGGGTCTTGACCGATCCCCCCGACAATGCCGTAGAACCACATACTTGGCAACTTTGCCATCCAGAGGATGCCGTAAATTGCCACCGAGGAGGTAAAGCCGGCTGACACGTAGTCGCCGCGAATGGCTTGTAGCATCTGGCTATTTCCATCTCGGAGTGAGGTTTTCCAGAGGGATTCATCGGTTGCGTAGAGGGGCCACCATGTCTGTGCAAAAGGATACTGTGAGGACGGGATAGGCGCGATCTGCCAGATAAAATGCCAGACCACGATTGTCGCAACAATTAGGAGCGGTGCCATCAGGGCGCGCCCAAGGACATCGCTGGTAAAGGTTGTGCCGGTCAGTTCAAGCACACGCCAATGCTGTGTACCCGCGCCATAATCTTCATCTGGTAGGTGGACAAACCAGATGTCGATCTCCTCGTAGCGACTTAAAATAAACGTTGCTTGATGGATGTAGGGCAGCACGAAGAGAGGTCGCCCTAGCACCCCAAATGTTCGTGCATTGATATAGGAATGCAAGGGAGTGTACAGAAAGGCAAAACCAAGCAGGAACGAAACGGGGAAGTTTGGCACCATACGATGCACAATCCACACATACACCACCATGCTGAGAACCCACAAGCCGCCCATCAGCCAGATTGGGAAATCGCCACGTCCCGGTGGCGTTTGCAGCGAGCCTCGCGCACCAGCCTCTCGTTCTTTTGTTTTTCTGAGGCTCAACATGATTGGGATGGACGCTGCCAAACCAACAGCAGCAAAGCTAAAGGATTTGCCCATGTTGAAACTCAACCAGAAGTCGAGGTCATTAAACAACTTGGTGCCTCGCATATCCAAGCCCGGACGCCACTGATGTAGGATTTCCAATGGATAAAGAATTCGCGGATTCAGAATAAATTGAGTGAACATCGCTGAAGCGAATTCGCTCATAATGATTGGGAACGGCAGCACAAATCCCTGTAGTATCAGTCCGAAATCTGTCCACAGGGCAAACATACCTGATGGCGCAAAGCTTTCGATGCTCGGGGTGAAGTCGATAAATGGGATTTTCAGAATCTGTATCGGTGTTGACATCATCACCCCAGTGAGCGAGGGGATACCGATATAGAAAAACCCCCAGAACAATCCCGCCATGGATCCAATCGAAAAGACGCGCCAACGCCATGTTTCGCCTTGTCCGGTGGTCTCGGCTAATGCGGTCGCACCTTGTGCCTGAATGGGTGCCAACGGGTAGGGGAGTCGCTCTAAATCTGCTGTCAGACGGAACAGAAAATAACTCGCGCTAATATAGCGAACCTCTGCCAGCAACTTCATGATTAGAAAAATGACAATGGGCCAGAACCAGTCCATGTGCAAAAGCGATCGTTCTGCAATCGCGATCGCGTCCTTCGCTGGTGCAACCCAATAGGGGATTTTGTCCGCGATTTCATACGACTCGGCTTGCGGCGTGTTGATAAAATAGGCATACCAGACGAACGGATAGGCGCGATAATGGATTCCGGAGCCGACCGCCGCACTAGTTAATCCCAGCAAAATGTAAAGTTCTTGCCTTCTTGCGGTTGTAAAAGATCGGCGCGCCAATTCTGTAAACAGAATAACCGCTACCCAAGGCGCAGCACCCGCGCCCGACTGACCTGCAACTAAGGTCAGATAGATTGACCCCGGCATCATCAATAGCCCGATGAAGACCGCACCTAGAAAGACTTTCAAGGTTAAGCCGGATTCAAAGGTTCTTATACCACCTTCAACATCATAACGTTGTGCCCAAGCTTGCCATTCTTCAGCTTGCGACACCCTTTCTCTTGCCAAATTCGTACTCCTTTCAGTGCCAGGATTTTAAAGCAAAGTTGCAAAGACACAAAGATTTGAGGAAACGAGCAAGTGAGGGGGCGTGGGAGCGAGTATGTATGTTTCAGAACTTCCTCGCTCACTCATCTTGTCCTTGCGTCATAGCGTCACTTCGTTCCTTATTTCATTGTGTCCATCGGTCATTTTTTTTCTCGGAAAAGCTCTTCCCAAACGTGGGCGATGATAATTCCAACAATGAGAATCGCGGCAGCGAGTAGCTGTGGTTGCCACCTACCTCCCATAGTGAAAATCGAAAATATCCAAAAAACCGCACCGATAAAAATTAAGACATACGCTAATTTTTCCATTGATTTTGTTGTTTCCTTATGCGTGGAACGTAACGAGTAATGCGTAAATTCTTCCCCTTACGTATTACTCGTTACGCATTATGCTTCATTAGCCCTAGCAGGTCAATAGATCTGTTTTAATGAACCAATGAACTAATGTACTTCTAACGTTTCACGTTTCAATCTGCCGGTTGGGCGACCAGACCGCCAACGCCCGGAGCCGTTTCCGCCTCGCTCTCTTGCCGTCCACGCTCATGGAACTCACCGCGGATATCAGCACTGAACGTCCGCCAAATCAGTAACTGTTTTCGGACAAGGTTCAAGAAACGGCGGTTAACGCGCTTCCATGAGGCAATCTCTCCACTCTCGCGGTGGACATCGAGGTGAATCTTATACAACTCTTCCTCTTCTCCGCCGACCGGCGAGGTGACAAGCCGAATGGATTGGCTGACCCCGAGATCGTAAGGAGCGAGCCACACCATCATGCTGATGTTGTAGGCTTCTTCATCTTTCCCTTCCACTTCCGCGGGTGTTCGACCGAAGGTTACCTGATCTGTGTAGAAGTCGCTCGCAGATTCGTCAGCGTGTGCCTCAAAGTAATCGCGCATAAAGATGTTCAAGCCGAGCGATTCTTCTGCCAACACTGTGAAGGGAAGATCGAAGTGCCACTCGTCGCCTTCAGGCTCCGGCAGCTGCCATTTCCGTTCGATGTCAGGTACCGCCATGCGACTGGCTTTAATTGCCGGGTACAGTGTACTTCCAATCACGACAATCATCACAATAATGGTTGCTACCACTGTTGACATTGACGAGTAGTTGAGGGTCAATCCAGCGAGTAAGCCGAAATTGACGAGGACGGTTGCAACAGCCTGACCAAGCAAGTAACCGAGCACAGCACCGACAATCGCATACACACACGCTTCTGCGAGGAATAGGAAGGCGATATGCACAGGGGCAAGCCCGACAGAACTGTAGATGCTGATTTCACGGACCCGTTCGTAGACCGCACCGAGCATCGTGTTCAGAACAATCAACGACGCAATGAGGATCGGTATGAACAGATTACCCATACCAGAGAAAGAGGTCATTCCGATTGAGCTGTAGAGATAGGTGTCCCGATCTTTTCCAACGAAGAAGTCGAGTGCGATTCGATTCATCAGAGGTGCCATGATCAGGTCCAGTTTATCTGCGGCACTGAAAACTGCTGGATCGCCGGGCTGTATTTCCATGTTGACAGCAACCGAGCGTAGCGTTCCACCCTGATTCATTACCACCTCATACGGCAGGATAGCCACAGCGTCAGGAGGTAGATGGATATATTTTTCTAACTCTCCTTCCATGGCTTGGTTCTGACCCTGTGCGCCGCCGCCTCGTGCCTCCTGCTGCTGCATCAGTTGGTAGTCAACGGGTGTCAGTTCCTCGCCATCGTTATCCTGTAGGTCTTTGAAGCCGATACCGAGGACGCCGGTAACGGTGAAATCCGCGCCGTATACGGAGACGGTCGCTTTGCCCATATCTGCTTCGGTGATGCCGAGCAGATCCGCCATACCTTTGGGCAGGACACAAGCGTAGGGCCATTGTGTGGGCCACTCCCCTTCATCGTCGGGGTGATACCATCGACCGTATTGGAGGTAGCGGTCAATTCCTGTGACACCGGGTTCATTTGGACTCATCCCGACCAGCATCGTGGCGGAGTAGGTCTTTGGCTGACCGGTGGTGGTATTGACAGGCGGTACGGGATCTTGTGGGTTGGCGGTGCGCTCTAGCTGCACAAACGACTGATCACCGGTTCCTGCAGACTGATACCACGCGCGTGGTGCGACGATGTTGTACACTCGCAATATGGATTCTTCACCCTGTTCTATCAATGTTCCCTGCTGACGTAATTGGGCCATGATTGCTTCAATTTCTACGTCAATCTGCTCTCTAGATTTACCTTTTTGCCCCAATCGTTTCCTCAGTAGTAGCCGTAAATCTTTCTCAGCGATTTGCGTTTTCTGCAAATCATTCGTGATTGAGTTGACAACGGGTTCCTCAAGCGGATTCCAATACTGATCTCGGATAAGCATCCCGGTGTACCGCGGCGTCACTGAAGGTAGGTTAGTGCTGTTGGGGTGCATAAAGGTACGCACCGATGTAAAGGAGATGACCGTAAAGGTGAGAATGACGAGTGTGCTACAGGTGAGGATGGTACGCCCCTTCCGCTTACGCATATTGGAAATACCCAAGCTGAAAGCGGCAGCGGAGGCAGACAAACGTCCCACGTCCGCCTTGTACACCTGTGAGCCCTCCTGCTTAATTTTTTCCACCTGTTCTTCAAACTTCCGGACGATGATACTGATTACGATTGCCGTCAATGCGAGGACGACGAACGCAATCAGGATGATAACCGGGGTTGTAGTAATCTGAAACGCGGGGTGCACCTGTGCCAAGAAGAAAAATACGACGAGGAAAATCGCGCCTGTCCCCATAATCTGTTTTTGGACGGTGGGGAAGGCGAATATCAACCGTTCCATGAAGTAGGCGAACGGGATCAGGAGCGCGAGATAGAACATCACACCGTTGACCACGTCATTCCCCGTTTTCTTCACATCGGGATAGGCGCGGGATTCGTATCCCCAAGCAGCGCGAGCGAGCTTGAGTGCCTGCTGATAGTCTTTTCGGGTGAGGGCAGCCTCCGCCTGATTCAGATGTTCGTTGGCGAATTGGTGGAGCTGATCGAGCCGATCACTGCTGATACCGAACCGCTTATACAAACTTGACCTGTTCTCATCGAGCCACCACATATCGCGGACAACAACGTATGGGGTCACGCGAATGCTTCCGTTCTCACGGACAACAAATCCTTCTCCGGTATAGAGTGTCGGGTTCTTCGTTCCACTCTTACTTGCTTTAATCAACAGCAACCGTTTACCGATTTGTCCATACGCCATGCCAATCTTGATACGACTGTTGGGTTCCGAATAGACGAGCGCAATTGGCTCAGTCGCCGAGACACCTTCCTGCTGCCACGGTTTCGACACGCCATACTTTTTCTGGTGAGCTATCGCTTGCAGCATCATAAACTTCCAGCTCACGAAGCGTCCGTAGGTATCGCTGATCAACGAGGTCGAAGATGGTGGTAGATACGCAGGGGAAAACCACAATACGGCACCCACGACGATGGGTGTTGATCGGTATCAGGTTCGGCAAAAGTTTCGCGCCGAAGTTGCCGAGATCCGGTGCGTAGACAATATCTCCGGAATCCGGGTGGAGGATGTAGGCTTCCACCTCTTGCGTGCCTTTGAGGCGGATAGTGGCGCGTCCCTCCATCGCGAGGCCTGCGACCTCAAAGTTTCCTTTATTATCTCCCATTGTGATGAGATCGCCTCGTACCCCCATCATGGTTTTGTGCCGACTCCGTAAGGCGAGGACAGGATACTCCACCGGCTTGTTTGGAAGTGCACTCTCGCGGGCATCATACTCAACTACATCGCCAAATAGGTTGCAGTAGAAAGTTCCCTACCCGCGCGGCGGTGGGCATCTTCGGATCGCGCATCGCTTGGATGAGAATGGCGGCAAGGGTTTTCGCCTGTTTATGCAAGGCACCATCTTGACTCAAATCCATTCGGTTAATTGTATCGAGCGGGGTATCGGTCAGCACGCGCGCATCATCAATTGTGGCAAAAGCGATTCCGGTAAAGCCGGTGAGGGTTGCCACTTCGCTATCAAAGGCAATTTTACCGGGGATGTAGGTCTTCCAGATCTTACCGCCACTGGCGGAGATTGCGTTGACGAAGTTGGTCTCACCACCGAAACCGGCAATATCAATGAGTGCCTTAATGTCATCAACTTCCTCTTGGGTAAATTCGGACGGGTCCTCGTTGCGCAGGGCAAGCATCGCATCTAAGCGATTGAGCAGGCGAACCCTATTCTTGCGGTTCTTCCGCGCCTCCCGGATATCGTTTCGGATGAATCGTTCAACCTCCTTACGGATGTAGTCCATATCCTTGAGCATATCCTCGGAAGGTTCGCCCTGATTTTTCATCTGTTCAAACTGCATCTTTCATCAATCGAGAAACCCCGGAGAGCCCGACCAATGTTGCGTAATGTTCGGTAACTAAGCTTTCAAGGCTCTTGCCTTCGATGGCTTTTTTCGGATCGATGCCAGCTGCAACCGTCCACTGGGTATTCATCACCGCTTGGCGGATCTGGTCGTCAGTGAATGTCCATAGTTTCTGGATACGCTCACCGAAATCGGCACCCTGCGCGTATTCCGCAAGTTTATTTCCGATGGAAGCGAACTCGCGACGGAGAACAAATTCGGGCTGTTGGTCATAGAACCAACCTTTGTTGAATACGCCGAACTGGTTGTTCTGGCTGGAGAGGTCGATAGAGATAAAGAGAGAGGTGTAGTAGCGATTGAAGATGTCTTGCAGTGCGATTGCTTGTTCGATGGAACGTATCTTCCGACCGTATTCCGATTCGCTGATGCGTGCAATCTTCTCCACCCGTTTCTGTAGATTGCGGAATCGAGCGTTTACGCATCGTGAGCAGGTTATCACGCAGAAGGATCTTGGTCTCCTCGTCCGGATCGCGGTCAAGGCGGTCAAGGATGTTCAGCAGGTTCTGGAGTTCGACAATATCGTTCTTGGCTCGCCGCTTTACCATCTCTAGTAGATGCTGTTCTTCAAGCTGACCAAAGATCTGTTCTCGGACTGCCATCGCTCGGTCTGCGGCATCTTCAGGGAGATAGTGGCGGAGGACGAGTGCCTCTTCGGCGAGGTAGGGACGGTTCAGCGACGCATGGCGTATGAGGAGGGATTCAATTCGATAGTGCTCAAGGCGAGCGTTACGCATCGCGGTTTCGAGGATACTCTGTTTATCTCTGGTCAGGTCATCAATCAGGACTTGGTCTAGTTCTTGTGAGGTTACTGTTCCCGTTGTCGGGTCCATCATCTCCAATTTCTGGTGGAGTTGGTTCTGGACTATCTCAAACTGTTTGAGGGTTGATTCATTGAGGAAGAGTTTTAGCTCATCAACAAAGCCTTGGGGGACATGATCCGGTTGAGCTCCTAACTGAGTAATGGTGTTTTTGATGCGATCCTCTGCGTTGCTGGTTGCGGGAGTGTTTGCGAGCGTCCGTTCAAGGAGTTGTCGTTCTTCTTCGATGTAGGCTTCCAGAGATTTTTCGGCGCTGTGGACAACCCTACGGGCTGACTTGATTCGTTCCAAACCCTTAAAGTCAAGATGGCGGTCTAACAACTTGTCTTGGGCATACTGGAGGGTGAATTTCCGTGGATCTTCAAATTCCCAATCCTGCAAGTTTTCCGAGAGTCGCTGGGTATCCACCTCCAAGTGCGATGGTAGGTCACTCGGTGCAGGTAAATAATAACTTCCATCCTCCCTTTCCTTAGGTGCGAGATAGCTGCTCTCTGGCGTTTGTGCATATTTTCCTTCAATTCGTTTTGCTGCCAAATCTGCTACCAATTTGTCGATTGCCCAGACATCCAACCGAGCCATCGGTAAGGCTATCTGTTCAATCAGTTCACGCTGGGTTTCGCGGCACTCCTCCAATGCCTGTGAACGCAATTTTAGGGTGCGATGAAGCATTGAACGAAGGAATTGAGTGGTCTGCAGCGCATCCTTCTTGAACTTTGCGAGGTTGACCCCCAGTCGTGATTTTTCCTCTTCGGTAAATCCCTGCTTCTCCCGTTTTTTAGTTGTTTCGAGTTTCTTCTTCTCTTTCTCTTTTGCTTCACGCTGGGCGTTACGCAACGAGTCAATGTTTCCCTTTGTCGTCTGCAAATCGGAGAGGGTTGTTGCTAGGGAATCGACATTTGCTTTGAGTGTCGTGGACATCGTGGAAGAAGTTCGGGGGTAGGTCTACCAGCACATTCCGGTCGATCGACAGTAGCAGCTTGCGTCCTAATTCTTCAAACTCAAAGAGGTCAGTACTTAAACCGCGACGCAGCCCGCGCATTGTCGGTGTGCCGGGCGAATCCGCTTCTCGTCCGACGATATCTTGACCAATCCCTTCCATAAATGCTCGCATACCACCCAGTCCTTGGAAGTGGGCATCTGTCGCGACAAACAGAAGGGAGCGGCCCGGGCGGAATTCCTCTTGGCTAAAGATGCGAGCAAGTTCCAACAACGTGGCGATACCGCCAGTGGGATCTGCGCCGGGTGCCATCGCGGGAACAACAGACATTGAGTCGTAATAGCCGGTGATAACGACCAATTCGTCCTTTAGGGTTGGGTCGCCACCTTCAAGGAAGCCACGAATGTTCTGCCCAATACGCCGTTCCCAAGTAATGGTACTGGTGAGACGTGCATAAAGTTTCTGAGAGGACGATTCCGCTCCGGTAGACCGAGAGTCTTCGACTTGTGTTGCCTCTTCGCCAAGCATAGCCAAGAGTTCGTCGGCATCCTCCTTAGCAATCCAGAAGCGGGGGATGTTGGCAGGGACCGTCAGAAATTTGTTCTCAGCCTCCCCGCGGATCGTGGTCTCTGGCTCGATGAAGAGTACAGCTTTCGCGCCAAGCATTGCGGCGTTAATCCATTTGGTGCTGGAGTTGAAGTCGATGAGTGCAACACTACCTTGAGGAATAAAGATGCTGGATTCATAGGAGGCGATAAACTCGCCTTCTTCGTCAATTTGCCCATCGTTGTTGTTATCGATACCATCAGTCGCGTCGCCGGGGCGTTCGTCTACGCGGTCGTCACCATCGTTGTCGATGCCGTCGGCATCCCATTGCGAGATCTCAGTTAGCGGGGGAATCTCACCGTATTCGTCAATCTGTCCGTCTTCATTGTTGTCGATGCCATCTTGCGTCTTTTGGAGATGACCGTTAAGAACGTCGTCCGTGATGCTACCGACACCGACACGAAAACGATGGGCGAGGTCTTCCAGCGTATCGTCAGGTTCAACCTTGTGCCAGAAACCTCCGATATCTTTACCGTTGAACGAAGCGAGTTCACCACTTCCGCCGTAAAAGAGGGGGAGCGGTCAGTCCGCCGGTAGGAATAAAGAGCGAGTTGCTTTCGACCAGCACTAGCTCGCCCGGTTCGTCAACTTCACCATCATCATCGTTATCGCTGCCATCGGTTGCTTGGTCTCGGAGGTATTGGTTATGCGGGTCAGCTAAAATGGCTTGCGGGTCAACTCGATAGGATTTAGCAATTCCGTCTAAGGTTTCGCCTTGAACGACTGCATGAGAGACGCCGTTGGGAAGGAAGGAGGTGCGAACAAGGTTGGGCCAGATGGACCAGATTCGGTAAGTCTTCAGAAGCGTTTGATCTTCGGAGAGAATTTCTACTTTCCCATCACCGTGGTCTATCGGAACAGAAACAGGAAACTCGCGGCTCTCGACGTTTTGTAAGCCGATCTCGACAAATTGATCGAAGATGTACTTGCTGCCCGATGCGGCTTCATCGTAGCCAGTGACGCGGGTGGGAAGATTGGAGAGTCGAGCGATGTCTTTTCGCATTCGACCGATATCGACTTTGTCACTGATTTTGACCGCAACCTCCGAAAGCCCGACAGACAGCTGTTCGTCAACAGCGAAACTGCCGTGCGGAGATAGTAGCGCAAGGATGCAAAGCCATAGACTGATGTAATAATATCTCTTGATGATCATGGTGATTCCTCCGAATTTTTTAATAGGCTGACCGGCACATAATATGCTATCGTATTTAGATCTGTCAGATTCTATCATAGTCGCAAAGTCTTGTCAAGATGCAAAACGGATCTAATTCACAAAAGTGAGTATTATGGACGGCATGTTTTTTTTAAATTTATATTCGCTATTGGTGCATTGGTTCATCTGTGAAACGTGATGCGTGAATCGTTTTTACATAAATTTTCGTTAATTCTATTTTAGACCTTGCATTGGAACGGCGTAATATGTTAAAATGGGAATCACAATCGTTAGAAAGCGCAATAAACACGCTTTTCTGCGATCGTACACCGTTTTTCCCTAACCCAATAAGGAGGTATATGATTATGTCTGTTTCAACACGTATTAAGAAACGTCGTGATAGACTCGGAATGACACAAACACAACTCGCCAAAGCGGCAAAGCTAACCCCTGCGGCGATTTCACAGTTTGAGTCCGGTGCCCGCAAACCGGCATTTGACACGCTTTCGAGCCTCGCTGACGCGCTGAAAGTCACTACGGACTACCTGCTCGGCAAAAAGGAGCATGGCTACGACGATCTTTTAGCGGATCCGAAAGTCAGTGTTATGTTTAGAGGCATCATGGATCTTTCCGAGGAAGATAAGGAAACGCTGATCGAGTTCTACCAATTTCTTAAAGACAAAAACGAGAAATAGAACAATCACGAAGGATCTGCTGCTTGAACATGAATCAGAGACCTTCCCGAAAAGGTCAGATTGCAAAACAGGCGTCCTCCAAACCCGCTCTGGATCCCGCCGAAGGTGCGCGACAGTTATTGCGTGAACTAAATGTTCAGGGCATCCCGATCCAACCGCGAGATATTGCGGAACAGCTGCAAATCGTCGTTTGGGAACGGGAGATGGAAAGCCAGTATGATGGCTGCCTAATGCGGGTCGGCGATGCTTGGGGCTCCTGCTCAACAATCTGATTCAATCACAGTCCCGAAAAAACTTTACAATCGCTCACGAATTGGGGCATTACTATTTGGATGGTGGGCAGACCGAAGGACAAATTTCCGCTACAGGTGAAGAGAACAAGGTGGCGGAATTTGTCCCTCAGCGCCGCTGTCAGCGCGAAGATTTGCGTGGATTTGATTCGCACCAATTGGAAGAACAACGTGCCAATCAGTTCGCAGTTGAGTTGCTGATGCCCTCCCCCATTTTCCGAGCGGACGCTACAGATCTGCCTAAAATCGGTTTGCCGGCGATTGATGCCCTTGCTGCTGAGTATTCTACCTCTTTGACTAGCACAGCCATCCGCTACACCCGTTTGAGTTCCCACGTCTGTGCGATTGTACTGTCTGAGCGGGGACAGATTAAATATTTTGCGTATTCAGACCGCTTTCGTCAGAACAGCGATTGCTATCTTGCGAAAAACAACCCCCTCCATCCCGACTCGGTCGCAGCCCTACTTGCCAAAGGCGGATCGAAAGAGGTCAAAGAACACCAGCGGAAAGTTCCGTTGTCCCATTGGTGTTCGACCCAATCAGATCAACCCCTCATTGAACAATCCCGCCGATTACCCCGCATGAACCAAGTGCTCTCGTTTCTTTGGTTACCGGACACACCTTGAAACGTGATACCCCCCTGTATCCCCCCCGCAAGCAGGGGGAGGCGTGAAACGTGAATAATTGCCTGCCTGTAGGTCGAGTTTCCATACTCGACATCGACTCAGTTGGTGCATTGGTTCATTAGTGCATTTTTCACATTTCACGCCCGGTGTTGGAAAGTCGTCTTCTGTACCACAATCTGTTAGATTGTGCTCCCACCCCGCAAACTAACAGTTTGCGCTACATTTGGCGGATTGTCCCATAATGATAGCGGTTGCCAAATTAGCAACATCCCAATGTGAACGCGCCGTAGTAATTTAGGTTATCTTAACGCGCTAACAGGGCACAAAAAAAGGGGTGCATCCGAAGATACACCCCAGTCCGTAAAGTGTTTGTTTTTAGCGTTCAGCTTGCCCGTCATCAGGCGCATCTGGCTCGGAACGGACAGGCGGAGTGCGTTGCTCCCGCTCAAATTGCCGAGCCGCTTCGGGGTCAGACTCCCTTAGCTGACGAAGCCCTTCCTCCGTGCCGAACTGGTCAAAGAGCTGTTTCGCTTCCTCCCGTTGTGCCGATGATAGCCCACCCCAGCTATGTGCTGCTGGTTTTGACGGTTTTTGGGGTTGTTCAAAAAACAGAGCCATATCGCGCTCCCAATCTTGTCCGACCAGATCCAAAACACTCATAGACAACTGCCCGATTCTCTGACACACAGAAAAACGAGTGACAGAACAATCCTGATCATCTGCTGCGCAATGGAGACGATGATGGCAGTGGAGTGTGGGATAAGTATGCCCGTTGCATAGCGACTACAAACACTGAAACCAAAAACACACAGAGAGACAGTACTCCCCCACAGCACAGACATAAAAGAAAACAACGCATACCGTACACCGCAACACTCACCAGGAACGCTTTCATCTATCAGACCCTCCCTCCTGCTCACGCGGCGTTGGCTGCCGTTCGGGCTGCTCCCCTTCGGTCAGCACCCGATCGAGTTGCTTGAGCTGGCGTATCAACTCGTCCGGATCGAACTGATCTACAGCCTGTGATTCTTTTGGAGGAGTAAATGGAACAGGATTCGTGGAATTGGACGGAGAGAGGCGTTTCGGTGAAGGTTTGGTTACCACCCTTTCAGGTTCAACAACAACTGGAGGTATGCGCTCCGTTTCCTGATTGCGTGCGGGTTGCGACGGTTCTGCAGGTCTTGTGTCCGTCGTTTCGTTCTCGGTTATGTTCAAATCTAGCGGTTCAGGTTCAGCATCGCTCGGCAGTGGCGGTGTTTGAAAGTTCCTCGATTCATAGAGCGATCTCGTCTCTGCCCACCAGACACTGAACGCCGCGTGATCCCCTTGGAACCATGCATTGATCCAGCGCAGGTTTTCGCGGTCTTGCATAAACTTCGCTGCAAAGCAAGCACACGCTCCCATCAGCCCTGACTCCTCGAATCGTCATCGACTAACCGTTTGCGCCATGAGATCGTCGTCCACTTGCGGGTTTTTGCCGTCGTTCGCGGCGAGATAGTCCTGAAGCTCGCGCTGATAGCCAACAGTTAACGCAGATCGCCAATCCGATCCTAACAGATCGGTGTAGCCTTCAGACTCCAGAAAATCAATGAACTTATGAATCGTTTTCGGTTTGTATTGATCCAGCTTCGTCTGAAAAGCGTCAGACTCCATAACCGCCAACATCTTCTGCAATTCAGGATCGTTCAGTTGGTCAGGTGTCATCCGCGACTTGATTATATCAGCGAACCGTCGATCTTTTAGACCTTTCTTTTTCTGCGTTACGACCTCACGCTTGGCTACAGGTTTCGACTGATCAGCGGTATGACCGAACAGACGCATATCTGGCTTTAAGACCACCAACACAAGCACTGCGAACGACCCCACCATCGCGGCGATCATCAATACCTGCCGCACCGCCCCTGTCAAAAACGAGGACGCTAGCACCGCCAGACCCGCTACCATCAACGATAGACCTACCAACGGTATATCACTCGCTATCAAGACATACGTCCCACACCCAACACCACAGAGCGCGCCTATAGCGATGAATCGTTTGTTGCCCTCTAGCGATTCATGAAATCGGTTCATCACAAAGAAAAACGCGATTGTCATAACCCCAAACACAGTGAACAATAGCGTCGGTTTCGACCAGCCAAGTGCCTGCCACAGATACAGTGCGGTCATATTGACAATGATAACGAACGGTAAAAGCAGATACAGTTTCTTGCTTCTCATTCTCATGGCTACAATCCCTCCTCACTGATTAAGACGGGACCGGCAAGGAATTGCCAGCCCCGCCCCGCTTTTAAGCGTTCTGGTTGAGCCGATCTTTACAATCCCAATAATCGATGATTTTGTCGGCGATATTCTTAGCAGCATAATAGCACAACCCTGACGCTGCGAAGCATATCCCAACCGTTATCCCGCCTGACGCGATAGCGCTTGCGCAGGTAAGAACACCACCGCCACACGTGAACACCGCGATCCCGGCCGCTTCCCAAATATCCCAATACTCGTCATTACAATTTTCCGAATCAGAATGACCTTGCGATGACGGAACAATCGCTGCACAGAACACAACGACCAACAATACTGCGATCGTTCTACTGAAAAACGAAAAACGCGCTTGCCGCTTAGTTTCACAAAACATCAGAAATCTCCTTCATACCATCGTTCCGACCGAAAACGGAAAAAGGGCTGCGTTCTCAAATCGCGCAGCCCTTTTCGTTTCCACTTGAAACTAATGACATGAAGGGTATACTATAATTCAATTGTTAGGTGTTCACCCTAACAATCACGAAGCGATTCGAGGTCGTGTCTCGTTTTGCTTCAGGGGGCTTCGAGCGGCAACTCGGAGCTCCCACAATTATCCATCCTATACCATCTTGAAAAATCTGTCAGCACTTTTTTTTAATAAAATTAACAATTTTCTGAATATTTAGTGTTTTTCCTTTTTGTGTGGTATCTTTCTCTTTTGTTTTTACCCTATTGAATGTCACAACCCTTTCGCGTTACTGCTATTGTAACCACCTTTTTTCCAAACAGTCATGCCGGCGTGATAGTGCCTAAATTCCTGCGTGGTTTTCCCATTGATGATGGCTTCATTGCGCCGCGTACCCAGCTCGCTTCACTCTTCATTGACCAAATCCACCAAAATGATGTCGGTCGGCAGATCGCTCACGAATACGATATTCCCATCTACGAGAGCATTCGTGCCGCACTCACTCTCGGCGGAGATAGCTTGGCTGTAGATGCGGTGCTGCTCATCGGCGAGCATGGCGACTACCCACGCTCTGCTTTGGGACAAGAAATGCTGCCACGGCGATATTTCTTTGAGCAGATCTGTGGCGTTATTGCCGAGTCCGGTCGCCCTATTCCTGTCTACAACGACAAGCATCTTTCCTACCGTTGGGACGATTCACATTGGATGTACACGACCGCCAAGCAGCTTGGCATACCGCTCTGGGCGGGATCGGCACTGCCGGTGGCTTGGCGGCGACCGAATTTTGAGCATCCGCTTGACGCACCGATCGATGAAGCCTTATCTATCGGATTTCACATGTTTGAACGGTACGGCTTCCATGCACTGGAAAGCCTGCAATGTCAGGTGGAACGGCGCAACGGCGGCGAAACGGGGGTCTGTTCCGTCCAATGTTTGTCCGGTGATGCGGTTTGGCGCGCCGCCGATGAAGGACGGTGGTCTGTTGAACTGGCTGACCATGCCCTTGGTGCGATTGAGGATGGACCCGAGCACCTCGATCCGTCGCAGGTCGAGGATCCACACATCTTTCTAATTGAGTATTGCGACGGGTTGAAAGGCGCGGCGTTGATGCTCGGCGATAACGGTTATGTCCGAAAGTTTGCCTACGCCGCGAAGCGCGGCACGGCCGTTGATGCAATGGAATACCACACCGATTCGGGATCGACGCATGCCGTTTTCAGCTATATGGGGCTGAATATTGAGGACTTCTTCCTGACCGGTGTCGCCCCCAGTCCGGTCGAGCGAACCTATCTGACCACTGGCATCTTAGAGGCGGTGATGCGCTCTCACGGCAGCGATGGCGCACGGATCGAAACCCCTCACTTGGCGATTTGTTATACTTCCACCGAATCCCAACCTCGACGTCCCACAACCACTCGCCCAACCGGCGCGTCCCTCTCTCCGTGGGAAATGCCGGAGCCGGGTGCCACTCCCGCTGCGGACTCCATTCCCATTGGCCGTGATGGGACAATTCGTGGACGTCGACGGTAATCTGTAATTCATCGGATCGATCCGAATTTTCCTCTCCCAACGGGTTGGGAGACCCAACCCCTACGAAGAACCACGCGTCTGTGCATCCTCTTGATGGTCTGGTTGCCATGAAGTGTCAACAGAACCTATCAACTTGTGCTGTACTAACGCGGGTTGCTAGTTATGTGCGGCGCGATAAGAGTCAATATCCTATGCCGGTAGGTCGGACATCTCCCGATGCCGTTCCAAGCAGCCCCATTCGTCCGGATTTGTTCCCGCTAATCGGGACTTCGTGGGACCCGATAAATCGGGATTTTCAACTTGCCGGAACTACAAAGCCCCAACGGGGTGATAGGTATATAGAACATCGGTAAATCTATTGATCCAAGCTCTAGCAGGGCGACAGGTGTGTCGTAAATTTGATGATTTCTGATAGGTGTCGATTATCAAAACTCGACCTACAGACTGTCTAGCAACTGGGGTTATACTAAATTAGGCGGCTATAAACACTTCTATTGCATGTTGGCTGCCACTCGTGCTGTGGGAGAGCGATTCCTTTTCCGATATTGTTAGATTCTATGAGTAATAATCAAGGAGAAGCGTGAACCAATGAAATCAACGCCATTTTCCATACTAACCGTTTCAGTTATTTTTAGCCTATTTTCACTCAACATCTTCGCCCAAGATTATACGCAATGGAGTTTACCCGAGGGTGTCAGAGCGCGCCTCGGTAAAGGGCAGATGTCTGGTGATATCGCGTATTCTCCCGACGGCACTCGGCTTGCGGTAGCGAGTAGTATCGGTATTTGGCTGTACGATACGGAGACCCATCAAGAGGTCGCGCTGCTCACAGGGCATACGGATTGGGTCATTAGTGTATCGTTCAGTCCCGATGGTAACACTGTCGCCAGTGGGAGTTGGGACAAGACGGTGCGGTTGTGGGACGCTGCTACGGGAGAGGAGCACGCGACTCTTATGGGGCATACGGATTGGGTCACTAGTGTAGTGTTTAGTCCCGACGGTGGTACGGTCGCCAGTGGGAGTTGGGACAGTACGGTTCGTCTATGGGATGCTGTAACGGGCGAGGAGAAAGCGACGTTGAGAGGGCATACGGGGTTTGTCAATAGTGTATCGTTCAGCTCCGATGGTAGTACACTCGCCAGTGGGAGTTGGGACAGTACGGTTCGTCTATGGGATGCTGTAACGGGCGAGGAGAAAGCGACGTTGAGAGGGCATACGGGGTTTGTCAATAGTGTATCGTTCAGTCCCGATGGTAGCACTGTCGCTAGTGGGAGTAGGGACAGTACGGTTCGTTTATGGGATGCTGTGACGGGCGAGGAGAAAGCGACGTTGAGGGAGCATACGGGGTTTGTCAATAGTGTATCGTTTAGTCCCCTTACAGAACGTGAGGTGAGTGTCTATAGTGTATCGTTTAGTCCCGATGGTAGCACTGTCGCCAGTGGGAGTGGTGATTTGTGGGGTAGCGACAATACGGTTCGTCTCTGGGACACCGTTACGGGCGAGGAGAAAGCGACGTTGAGGGGGCATACGGGGTTTGTCAATAGTGTATCGTTTAGTCCCGGCGGTAATACACTCGCCAGTGGGAGTAGTGACAACACGGTTCGTTTATGGGATGCTGTGACGGGCGAGGAGAAAGCGACGTTGAGGGGGCATACGGAGAGTGTCAATAGTGTGTCGTTCAGTCCCGATGGTAGCACTGTCGCCAGTGGGAGTGGTGATTTGTGGGGTAGCGACAATACGGTTCGTCTCTGGGACACCGTTACGGGCGAGGAGAAAGCGACGCTGAAAGGGCATACGGAGGGTGTCAATAGTGTATCGTTCAGCCCCGATGGTAGTACACTCGCCAGTGGGAGTGGTGGTTTGGGAGGTAGCGACAATACGGTTCGTCTCTGGGACACTGTTACGGGCGAGGAGAAAGCGACGCTGAAAGGGCATAGGGATTGGGTCAATAGTGTATCGTTCAGTCCCGATGGTAGTACACTCGCTAGTGGGAGTGGTGGTTTGTGGGGTGGCGACAATACGGTTCGTCTATGGGACGCTGTGACGGGCGAGGAGAAAGCGACGCTGAAAGGGCATACGAGGCATGTCAATAGTGTATCGTTCAGTCCCGATGGTAGCACTGTCGCCAGTGGGAGTAGGACAGTACGGTTCGTCTATGGGATGCTGTGACGGGCGAGGAGAAAGCGACCCTTACAGGACATACGGAGGTTGTCTCTAGTGTATCGTTCAGTCCCGATGGTAGCACTGTCGCCAGTGGGAGTTGGGACAGTACGGTTCGTCTATGGGATGCTGTGACGGGCGAGGAGAAAGCGACCCTTGCAGGACATACAGGGTTTGTCAAGAGTGTATCGTTCAGTCCTGATGGTAGCACCCTCGCTAGTGGGAGTTCGGATGGCACAATTCTCCTATGGGAGGTTATACCTGCTCCATCAGAGCCGGAAAAAATCGCAGGCGATATCAACCGCGATGGCGTGGTCAACATCTCTGATTTACTGTTCGTTGCCAAGGCACTTGGCAGAACCGAACCGAATGATGCCGATGTCAACGGCGATGGTGCTATCAACATCCTTGATTTGGTACTTGTTGCCTCAACCTTTGGTAACACAGCAGCCGCGCCTTTAGCGCGCGCACAGATAGTGTCCACCCTCACCGCTGCCGATGTCGAGAGATGGTTGACACAAGCGGAGCAAGTGGCACTGACAGATCCCGCCTACCTACGCGGCATTGCCGTGCTGGAACAACTCCTCTCTATGTTGACACCGAAGGAAACCATCTTATTGCCCAACTATCCCAACCCGTTCAACCCGGAAACATGGATACCGTATCATCTGGCAAATGCCAGCGATGTGCAGATCTCAATCTACGACACCAACGGTGCGTTAGTGCGTCAATTGGATCTGGGTCATCAGCAGGCTGGCTATTACACGAATCGAAGCCGTGCCCGTGTATTGGGATGGACGCAACGAGTTCGGTGAGCAGGTGGCAAGCGGTGTGTATTTCTATCATCTGTCCGCAGGGGTCTATTCCGCTACGCGACAACTGGTAATTCTCAAATAGTTAGGAGTTACGCAGTTAAATAACCGCTTGTAGTTCAGCAATTTATCGCCGATTGACAGCGTTCCCAACGCCCGATGAATCGGGCAACTACATAGGTTTTGTTGGCATCTTACTGTAGCCAATATGACTCATGTTTTCATCGGTTCGTTGTTGATAGCCCTCATCGAAAAACCAACGCGCCATAAAAAAAGGGGGTGCATCCGAAGATACACCCCCAGTTTGTTAAACGTCTGTTTTATCGTTCCGAACCTCGCCGAGATCAGGCAAGGTCGAAGCGATCGAGGTTCATGACCTTGTTCCACGCCGCCACGAAGTCAGACACAAACGCCTCTTGAGCATCGTCACACCCGTAGACTTCCGCAATGGCTCGGAGTTGCGAGTTTGAGCCGAATGCGAGGTCGGCACGGCTGCCGGTCCACTGAATCTCACCTGTCAAGCGATTGCGCCCCTCGAACACATCCTCAGATGTACTGGACGCCCATTCGATGTTCATGTCAAGCAGGTTCACGAAGAAATCAGGAGTCAACGTCTCGGTCCGCTTGGTGAATACGCCGAGTTCGGACTGACCGACGTTTGCATTCAGGACACGCAAGCCTCCGACGAGAACCGTCGTCTCAGGAGCGGTTAGCGTCAGCATTTGTGCTCGATCCACCAGCAGCTCTTCGGCTGTTCTCTGATGCCCGTTTGCGAGGTAGTTGCGAAATCCGTCGGCGGTCGGTTCAAGCACAGCAAATGAGTCCACGTCGGTTTGCTCCTGCAACGCGTCCGTGCGCCCCGGAGCGAAGGGAACCTGTACGTCGATACCGGCGTTCTTCGCAGCTGCTTCGACCGCTGCACACCCAGCTAGAACGATCAGGTCAGCGAGTGAGATCCGCTTCCCGTCGGACTGCGAGTTGTTAAATTCCTCTTGAATTCCCTCCAAGGTCTGAAGTACCTGCCCCAGTTCGGACGGATTGTTGACTTCCCAATCCTTCTGCGGCGCGAGGCGAATACGTGCCCCGTTAGCTCCACCGCGCTTGTCGGTGCCGCGGAATGTTGCCGCAGACGCCCAAGCGGTCGAAACCAGTTGGGAGATGGACAGTCCTGATTCGAAGCACTTGCCCTTGAGGGCAGCGATGTCTTGCTCACCAATCAGTGCATGATCGACATCAGGAACGGGGTCTTGCCACAGCTGCGGTTCCGCAGGAACCAACGGACCGAGACACCGTGTGCGAGGTCCCATGTCGCGGTGGGTCAGCTTGTACCACGCCTTGGCAAAGGCGTCTGCGAACTCGTCCGGGTTCTCGTAGAACCGCCTCGAAATCTTCTCATAGATCGGATCCATCCGCAGAGACAGGTCCGTCGTGAGCATCATGGGGGCGTGCTTCTTTGCGGGATCGTGAGCGTCCGGCACAGTGCCTTGTGCGGCTTCGTCTTTGGGGGTCCACTGCCATGCACCGCCAGGACCTTTTATCAATTCCCACTCGTAGTTGAACAGGTTCTCGAAGAAATTGTTGTCCCACTTGGCTGGCGCGGTGGTCCAGGCCCCCTCCAACCCGCTGGTGATCGTGTCGCTGCCCACCCCGCTGCCAAAGCTGTTCTTCCAGCCGAGCCCTTGTTCTTCGATGGAGGCTCCTTCGGGTTCGGGACCGACGTACTCGTCCCGCATCAGCAGCACCATGGGTTTTGCCGAACGTGTGTCCGCCAGCGATGAGCGCGACCGTCTCCTCGTCGTTCATTGCCATGCGCGGAACGTCTCTCTAATGTCTCTCGCTGCAGCGACCGGATCCGGGTTAGCGTTCGGTCCCTGCGGATTCACATAGATTAAGCCCATCTGAACGGCACCGAGAGGATTCTCCAGTTCCCTGTCGCCGGTGTAACGCTCGTCACCCAGCCATGTGGTCTCCTGTCCCCAATAGATGTCTTCTTCGGGCTCCCAGATGTCCTCTCGCCCACCGGCGAACCCGAGCGTCTTGAGACCCATCGACTCTATGGCACAGTTCCCGGTGAAGATCATCAGGTCCGCCCACGAGAGCTTCCTGCCGTACTTCTGCTTAATCGGCCAGAGCAACCGGCGCGCCTTGTCGAGGCTCGCGTTGTCGGGCCAACTGTTGAGGGGCGCGAAGCGCATCGTGCCGGAGGCTGCACCGCCGCGTCCGTCGGCGATGCGGTACGTGCCTGCACTGTGCCACGCCATCCGAATGAAGAGAGGTCCATAGTGGCCGTAGTCGGCGGGCCACCACTCCTGCGACGTCGTCATCACCTTATCGACGTCCTCTTTCAGGGCATCCAAGTCAAGTGTCTTGAACGCCTCGGCGTAATTGAAATCCTCGCCCATAGGATTGGACGAGGGTGCGTTCTGGTGGAGTGTCTTCAGGTTCAACTGATTGGGCCACCAGCGTTGGTTCGCTATGGTGCCCGCGTGAGAATGTCCCATCACTGGACACTTACTTTCGTTGCTCATATTCCCTCCAATTGTGTTCTGTATTTTTTCTAACTTAAAATATGGAGCAGCCTCCATGTATCCTTGCCGTTTGCATTCAAAGATGTAACGGCAAAGGGTGACTCCGGCATCAAGATGCCTGCCGGACTTCTGTAAAAGATCTTTGCAAATTCGATTTTGTAGGCAGGGCATCCCCGGTCACTGGATCCTCTCGGACTTGCCCCGCTTGGTATCTGCGGCTCTTGTTACGAGTTTCCTTCAGCCATGCTAGCAAGCAGCTTCGGAAGTGATGCCCACCATGCCTCCGTTGCACTGACGTGCAACAGGTGGGTATTGCCCGGTACATCGTTCGCGCCTAAGCCACGCTCGATAACCCCCGTATGTGGATCTTCCTCTAGCTGCTTGGCGAGTCTATCTTCCAATCGGTTGCGTGAGCGGATTGCGAAGATGCCCACAAGCTCCGCCGATGGCAAGTCCAAGAGGAAATCAACGTTCCAGTGCAAGGTTTTGCCCCGTCGTGGCAATAGATTCCCGTCTCCCAAACCGCATTCAGCAAATCGGCAGAGCATCGTCTCGCGGATAGGGTGTGGGCGTTGATCGCCGCTTCGCGTTGCGTGCCGAACGAGCCGCCGCGCCAACATGGTCGCGCCCTTCTCTGCGAGCGCGGAGCCGACATAGGCGTATTCACCGGCGGGCAGTGAAATCAACTTCCCTTTCTTGAACCGTCCGAATCGTAAGGTGGTATCCTTTTTGAGGCGAATCCGCAGAATATACGTCCCAGCGTGTGATTCATCACCGATTATGACGATGCTTGGAATTTCCACTCAATCACCGAATGCGTTAGGTGTCGGGATTCGGAGATCCCTCCTACAGGAGAACTAGATGTCCTTGCGGTTTATTCGGACTGTTTTTTCATCTGAAAATGTGTAGAGTTTTCATCGACGATTGTGAATCCCAGCCTTTGGTAGAAAGCGGTAGCACGGGTGTTAATTTTTAGCACCTGAAGCGTCACAGGCTTTTGTTCAAGGTTTGCATCGTCGATAATGCGCTTCATGCACGCTGCCCCAACTCCCCTCCCTTGGTACTCAGGCAGGATGTAGAGCTGATCGACCTTGAGCGTGTCAGAGGTGTTAGACGTTGATAAGAAACCGACAGTCGGTCCCGCGAAACTGGATAATGCGAAGATCTTGGGAAGCGAATCGCCTGTTGTGCAGATCCCTTTGATAGATATCATCCCAGCCCCAGATCTGCTCCACATATTCTCGGAACGCTGCCTCCTTAACGGCAAAAACAAATTCGCTGTCAGTTGCCTGTGCCTTGCGAACCTTCAACCCTTCCACTCCAGATCTCCATGTGTGTGTAATCGTAGATTGTGCAGATTAGGAAATCTGCACCTACGATTAATCCTCGCGGTTTTGCCAATCAATTTCATCAATTGTCTGTGCGGTCAGCACTTTCTCAAAAAGCAAATCCAAACGGGAGAGACTCTGTATCAAGGTAATCTGATTGGTTACAGATTCAGGAACGGAATCAAATCGGAACCGCAGCAGTTTGATGAGTGCCTCCTGTTTCGCTGCGTTTCCCTTGTCATACCTTGTTCAATACCTTGTTCTTTGCCGCGTTCAATGAGATGTTCAGCCATTGTCTGTGCCATGACTTCTACCTCCTCCCTGTCTGAAGCCTGTTGGATGTGTTGGTCAACAAGTGTGCTTAATTCCTCATGTTCTTCAGCCGGACGGCGATGCAGAATCAACAAAAACAGATAGGAAATCGCCCGTTGCCGCTGCTGTGCTTGTTGGTCACCAAGAGTGTTAATGTGGGACATCGCTTCGATTAACGCAGTCCTTATCACTTCCTTGTCCGCATGTTCCTTTTGCAAAACGGTCAGCAGCCAGCCAAGCGGATGGTCAGTCTTTGTCAGGTTCGCTTCATCTGTCTCCTTTACACTAGAAACAGTATATCCAACTTCGGGACAAACCGTGAAAACACATCGGGGATGTCCATTATTGCATTGAGGGTCAACGGGGTTTTCCATCTCTGCGCGCCAGTGTAAAACACAATCGGAAGCACCGGACGGAAACGCCACTGACTTTTGGGAACATTGTTTGATTCCCACTCACGGCGTTGGGAATCCCAAATCTGAATCATGTAGAACAACACTCGAAATCCCATTGTCGAATCGACCGTGGATTGGTGTTCAATGAGGATATAGATTAGCAGCTCGTCCGTTTCCGATTCGCTCTGCAATGGAACGCTAAACACGAGGTCGGACTCCTGCTCTCGAAGGTTGTCGGGAATAAAACTCCTGTTAATCTGTGAAAGTTGGCTAAAATCGATCAGTTCAACCAACTCGCCTGCGACGATTTCTAGCAGTCCTCGGACGTTCTCTTTGTCTTGGAACAACCATCGGGCACTCCTGTCAGGGAAATGTTCAACCCGGATGTCGAAAAAATTGAGTATTTCTGTTGCTTCTGCCATAGTTCCCTAGGTTTTCAAACAGGCTTTTAGCTTTCGTTCAACCTCTCGATATCTCATTGAGGAGATAGCGTCGATTCTAATCCGGGTAGAACTGTTTCTAAAGGCTGGATTTGGGGCAACTTCGGTTAGTCGCACATGTTGGACACAAGCCGTACAACTCCAGTTTATACCCTTGTACTTCAAACCCCTCGCTTTGAACTGCTGGGTGTTAAGTGGCTCAGAGAGCGGTGCGTCAATGTCGAGTAACTGATCGCAATCCGTACAGATCAGGTGGTGATGCTCTGCGAGGTTCGCGTCGAAGCGAGCGTATTCGCCGTGCTCCACCTTGCGAATCAATCCTAGCTCAACCAAAACGCCGAGGCTTCGATAGACAGTGCCCAAGCTGATATTTGGCAGACGAACCTTCACCGCATCATAGATCTCTTTCGCGCTTGGGTGGTATCGCTGCCGTCGCACCTCTTCGAGGATAATCCGGCGTTGACGGGTAAATCGATAGCCTTCTTGCCTAAGCCCTTCGCTTAATTCTTTCATATTGGCACGCATAGTAAGTTTAACGTAGGCTGCTAGTTGATAAACCAAGCGTTAGCAACCGACGCAAGAGTCGGGAATCGGAATTCCCTCCTATACAAAACATGCAGTCGCCCCTCTGGGGCTTGGATTGCGACGATTTGTTATTGCTGCTATACACATTGCGCTCCTCTGGAGCGCGGAGATTGGACGCATCGCTTTCTATAGACATATCGCTCCTCTGGAGCGAAAGACAAAGGATTTACCAGACGGGCAGGGAAACCCCGCCCCTACAAGAAAACCGATGGGCTTTCAACGACTAACAACTTGGATTATATTAGTAATAATTCCTATTACTGATAAGCCTAATTATACTAGAAAGGAATTGGATAGGTCAAGATAAAAATAAGATTTTTCGCATAGAAAGCACATTAGCCGAGCGCATTCACCACAGCGTTGCCGACCTGTGAGGTTGTGGCTTGACCGTCGAGGTCCGGCGGCAGGGTCTCGCCCTTCTCAACCACCTTCAGTACGGCTGCGTCTATCGTGTCTGCTGCTTCCGTTTCACCGACGAAGCGCAGCATCATCGAACCGGAGGTGATCGCCGCCAGCGGATTGGCGATGCCTTGCCCCATAATGTCCGGTGCACTGCCGTGAACCGGCTCGAACATCGACGGGAATCGGCGTTGTGGATCGAGATTGCCGCTCGGAGCCAGTCCCATGCTCCCCGTGATAATCGCGCCGATGTCCGTGAGGATATCCCCAAACAGGTTGCTAGCGACGACAACATCGAAGTCCTCGGGTCTTCGGACGAAATCCATACACGCTGCGTCCACAAGCAACGATTCCGTCTCTATGTCGGGATACTTTTCCGCACTCGCTCGAAGGCGGTATCCCATACAATCATGCCGTAACCCTGCGCGTTCGATTTGGTGACCGAAGTGACTTTACGCTTCTTATTTCGTGCCCGGGCTTGCTCGAAGGCGTGGGTGATGACGCGCTCGCTGCCGTGGCGGGTGAATACGCCGACCTGTACGCCGATCTCTTCGGGGAACCCTTGGTACTGAAATCCGCCGACGTTGGCATACTCGCCCTCTGTGTTCTCCCTTATCACCACGAGATCGATGTCCCAAGCGTCTTTGTCCTTGAGCGGTGCGTTGATGCCGGGATAGAGGACACTTGGTCGCTCGCAGACGTACTGATCGAATTTGCGCCGGATAGGCAGCAAAAGCCCGTTGAGCGTAAGGTGGTCTTGGATGTCGGGGTGCCCGACTGCGCCAAGATAGATCTGGTCGAACTCGCCAGTGTATCGAGGGCATCGGGTGGCATCATGTGCCCATGCTCGAAGTAGTAGTCTGACCCCCAAGGGAACTCGACAAAGTCCCATGTGATGTCGTATCTGTCGGCGACGGCGTTGAGGATCTTGAGACCTTCCTCCATCACCTCGATCCCAATGCCGTCTCCTCGAATTACTGCAATTTTGTATTTAGCCATATTTGTCCTTTCTAATATGTTGGTTCATTGGTTCATTGGGGCTGTGTCAAGAAATAGGGCTATTCCTGATTACGGGGCGGTGAAACCGTTCAGTAATTGCAACGCCGCATCAACCATCTGCCCTCCGGCGTCGGGAGCGAGGTAGCTGCTCCGCGCTAGCCATGTCTCATAGCCGCCATGCTCATGCCCAATCGGGGTTGGGACGTAGCCGGTGTAGTCGTTGGCAAGTTCGATGATAAATGTCGGCTTGAGCGGCGAGGCAGCCTTGAGGTCAATACCGAATTGACAGAAGATTTCTCCCGTCAATGCAACGACCCCGCAATCTCCGATACGGAAGGCTTGGATCGGTGTCGTGCGGGTATCTTCCCACCCGTTGACTATAATGCGTTCATGTGCGTAGAGTTCATCGACAGTCGGATCATCACTTGCGTTTGCCCATTTTGCCTCATACTCGGCGAGTTCTGTGCTGGTCGGTTTCCGTATACCGCACGTGATTTCCGTCTGTGCCGCCGAAAGCCCCAAGTCATCGTGCATTGGGGTGGTCTGCCACGTTCGCCACACCTCCGCTGCAACTATCCGAGCGACCTTCCGTGTCTGGGCAAAGGGGCGTCGGTCCGTCAGCGGGTGATGGACATTGATGTTATTGATGTCGCCGGAACAACCGTTGGAGAGCATTGCGACGAATCCTGCGCCTGCCATCTTTTGAATCTCTTCGGCAAATAGCCCGAAATAGTCTGCGGAAATCATGTGCCCCGGCGCACCGACATAGTGCAGGGCGTAATTGGCGAGGACGGCTATCGGTTCACCATCAACCGTTTCGACGAAAAGCGCAGCGATGTCCGGATCGGTGGGTCCAACGGTTTCTACGATGTCGGGATTGTTATACCCCGGATTCATTTTAACTGTGCCATCCTTCATGCGAAACCGCCGATTGAACACGCAGCGCGGCTCTTTTCCGACACCGTAACCGAGTTTCGCCGGCTGCGCCCGTCCTGCTGCCAACTGAACGGCATCGGCGACGCGGGTCGAGAAGAAGTCGAGGTAGCCCGGATCGGGAACGGTCTCAAACCCCGGTTTCATCGCGGGGGCGGAATGCGTATGGGTCCCCGCTATCAGAACCTGCTCACCCGGAATCCCGGCACGTTCCGCGATCAAGGCTTTGGCGGCGTCACATACTTCGCGGGGGATGCAGATGACATCACAGATGACAAAGGCGAGTTGCGTAGCCCCGTCGTCAAGTACCAGTGCCTTCGCATGGAGTTCGTCGTGGACTTCCGTCGCATGGCGCGCCTTCAGTGAACCTGCAAGGTATGCGCCGAGTGGCGGTGTGATATTGGTCTGTGCAGCACCAGCTTTTAGGGTAGCCATTCGCTTTCTCCTCCTATGGTGTCACCGACTGTAACGGGCAAAGTAGAACGTCTTGAGGGGCTCCTCTGTATCGTTGATAAGGGTATGCCCTGGGTTTGACGGTGCAACAGAGACCGCATCGCCCGGAAGTTGCCGGTAGACGTTCTGGCTCACCACATGGATGCCGTCGCCCTCTAGCATATACCACACCTCATCCATATCGTCAGCATGTCCGTGGGTATCGGGGGTCTGCATCGCGTCAATTGTTACCATCAGCACTGAGTGCAGCTTCACAAGTCCATCGTCCGCTCCGAAAATGGGGTGGACGAGATGAGTCCAATGCCCCTGACTCAGGGATGTTCCCGATAGTTTCGTATCAGTACATCTTCGCGGGGTGTGCCCTCGGCGTCGGCAAGGGTCTCCTCTAATATCAGGAAATTCTAAGGGCACCTCCGCTTCGTTTGTTAGGACATGTGTGGTCCCCGGTGGCACGATGATGCCATCTCCTTCGCAGACTTCTTGCTTGATGCCTCCACCTTCAAAAATGCCATCTCCATCAACGATGTAGAAAATCAGTTGCCGATCGTCGAAAGCGTTGGTATCGACGCGATTCGTGACTCAAGATAGCACCGGGAGAAGCTATCAATATGGTTGAGGACTGCTCCCGGTTTGTGGGGATCATCGGGGTCTTTCTTGGAGAAGATTTCTCGCCTGATGATATTGCCGTGTGTGAGACTTGAGGGGGATTGTAACCAACTTCTCATTTCCATTTGTCGTTACCTCCAATTTGTCTAATGGGGAGTTATGCACTTTATGTAACAAGGGCAACCACGAGGGTTGCCCCTACAGAGCATGAATCCAACGTAGGGGCAGGTCTTGTACCTGCCTAACACTTAATCGTGAGTTGGATTAAAGTGTTGGGTTTCACTACACTCATCTATAAGATGGGGTTGTTGACAGGCGGCATCTCTATTGTCGTTGATAGGAATTCGCTTTTTAACCGTTCAACCCAACCTACTGAACTGCTGCGAGGTATGCGCCGAGCGGCGGCGTGATATTGGTCTGTGCGGCACCCGCTTTCAGCGTGGACATTCGCTTTCTCCTCTCATCGTATCACCGCGTGTAACGGGCAAAGTAGAACGTCTTGAGTGGTTCCTCCGTATCGTTGATGAGGGTATGTCCTGGGTTTGACGGTGCGACAGAGACCGCATCGCCCGGAACTTGCCGGTAGACATTCTGGCTTACCACGTGGATGCCGTTGCCTTCGAGCATATACCACACCTCATCCATATCGTCGGCATGCCCATGGGTATCAGGGGTCTGCACTGCGTCGAAAGTAGAACGTCTTGAGCGGTTCCTCCGTATCGTTGATGAGGGTATGTCCTGGGTTTGACGGTGCGACAGAGACCGCATCGCCCGGAACTTGCCGGTAGACATTCTGGCTTACCACGTGGATGCCGTTGCCTTCGAGCATATACCACACCTCATCCATATCGTCGGCATGCCCATGGGTATCAGGGGTCTGCATTGCGTCGATTGTTACCATTAGGACGAAATGTAGCTTGGCAAGTCCATCAGCCTCTCCGAAGATGGGGTGGACGAGATGGGTCCAATGCCCTTGATTCAGGTGTTGCTCCCGGTAGTTTCTGATAAGTACATCTTCGCGGGGTGTTCCTGGAGCATCGGCAAGGGTTTCTTCCAATATCAGAAATTCTAAGGGCGTTGTGTTTGCCTCGTTGTTTAAGACATGCGTCGTTCCCGGCGGCACGATAATGCCGTCTCCTTCGCGGACCTCCTGCTTGAGGTCGCCGCCCTCGAAAATTGCCTCTCCATCAACGATGTAGAAAATCAGCTGCCGATCGTCGAAAGATGTTGGTATTGATGCGATTCGCGACTCAAGATAGCACCGGGAGAAGCTATCAATATGGTTGAGGACTGCTCCCGGTTTGTGGGGATCATCGGGATCTTTCTTGGAGAAGATTTCTCGTCTAATGATGTTACCGTGTGTGAGACTTGAGGGGGATTGTAACCAGCTTCTCATTTCCATCTTTCGTTACCTCCAATTTATCGAAATCTGTGCTCGGTTAAGATTTAAAGATCACCAACACAATTATAGCACGATTCCTGAAAAAATAAGAAATGAAAATGAAGTGACGTTTCACAAGAAAGTTACGCAGGCATCACCACTACCTCAACTTCGTTGATGACAATTTCGTTGTTTGCATCGGAGGCACTGTGCGTAAGTTGAATCTTCAGATAATTGTCTCCATTGTTAAGCGACTCCTGATTCAAGTTGAACCACACGTTTGAAAACGGCGGCAGCGGTCGACCGAATGTTTCCAATCGACCATCTGGGTGAAAGACGCGCTGACAGTCTTGGATTTCAGTTCCGTTGAGTTTTACGGCGATTTCATCTTTGGGGAGCAATCCCTGTGCGCTGAAGTACAGGACGACTTGCGTTCCCTGTGCAAACTGTTCGCAGAGGCGGAAACGGTATTCTCCAGTTGAGCCGACTTCACGGGTGAGGGTTAGCTTGTCGTCCTTCACGGCTCCGGTCGGTGATGTGCCGCCCCATAGGGGATGGAAACGGTAGTGGCGCGTCCGGCTCGTGATGGTTTTGGGATCGCGTAGGTCGCGCAGGTAGCTCAATGAGAGCGGATAGCCTTCGACGGGTCCCGGGTAGCGGGCGGTCCCTCCCTTTCGCGCCCAGTGGTACTGGTAGTTGAAAACCGAAACGCCGTCAGCACCTGCGCCGTAGAAATTTTGTGCGAGTGCCCGATAATTTTCAGGCTTGAGTAGTGTCGTCGCATCCCCACGACACATCATGGGGGCCAGCGTAGGGTACAACAGACAATCCGATCCGCGTGTCAACTCGCTGAATGCCTCATAGGGCGCGTTGAAATCGGCATAGTGGAAGTCGCAGGGACAGATGTAGTTGATGAGACCTTCCCGAATCCATGTGGGGATATCGAACCCTAAGTTATAGCACTCTTCCAACGTTTGCGGAATCATTACCCCCAGCGTTAGGGTTTTCCGTTGCTGCGCTCCGCGCCGGTCTAACATCTCGCGTATTCGTTGCAAAAACCCGGTCATAACTGGATGACGTTCACGGGCAACATCGGTGGGAAAGCAGTGCCCGTGCCGGATATAGTTGAACAACAAGCCGTCAACGTCGAACCGTTCTACCACTTCATCGGCGACGGAGTAGACGTAATCCCGGACCTGTTCAAAGCTAAAGTCCTGACCGCCGGGAAATTCCTCTAGCTGCCACGCAGGGTTGTCCAATATGAACCGCGCACCCTGATCTCCGTTGCCGTGGCGGTCGTTCATGCGAAACTTTGCGACGAACTCCATGCCTCGCTTGTGTGTTTGCTCGATCAGCACTTCCAACGGGGTGATACCGGCGTCGATCATGGAGGTGAAACGTTGATGTTGAGGTCTTGCGTCGTACTCGAACCGATTTGAACGGAAAAAGACTGTCCATCCCTGTGCATAGATCGCTTGTGCGTAGGTGTCTACGTCGTGATGCGCTAGGTCGTCTACCCA